ACAATGGTGAGCAGTGAGTTGTCGGTTGGAATCCCCTTTCAGCAAGCTTATGATTTTTGTGCAAGTCATGGACCCAACAGAAAGTACTTAAAGTAGTTCATGGGCAACACCTGGTATAAAGTTTGTGTGCTTTAGAAGGCCCATAGCGTTGCAGAGCTCAGGCACAATTTCGAGTCAGCTCTGATGACCTGATGAGTTCCAAATTGAAAGAATGCTTCATCTGTTTCTTACTCCAAATTAGAGTGAGGAGGACGAGGAAATCTTGCAAGTTAAGAAGGCTGTGGTTGTGGTAACCATATTGAAATCTTTGGTTTAGCAAAAGTAATATTTTGTGTAGCACTTGAAAACTATCTGAGTTTGTTAAATGAAGTCTTGCTGGTTTGTGTCTAGAACCCTTCGGTGTAGTGGAGAGTGTGAAGGCTGCTAGTGACCTGTATGCCATGATTGACGGAGAGGTCACAGAGGTTAATGATGCCCTGGCACAGACGCCCGAACTTGTCAATAGCGACCCCTTTGGAGCAGGTTTGAAGACTTTTCTGTGAAAGGTCCACATTTTGGCACACTTTAATGAAACACATGATTGGTTTTTCTTGGCTTTCTGGTGCCATTGTCATAAATGAGACTTGTTTCCACAAGATTTCCTTAAGATGTACAAAATTGGACAAGTACGACAAACATAGCTTGATCAAAGGTGATATATAACACAGATTTTGCTGCATTTTTTTGCTGAGCTGCACAGACAGTGTTATAGCCAGCCATATTTCAGTGCAGAACAATTTAGTCATAGTGCCGAGTCTCGTAGGTCACAGTTGGGGGTCCATGGGCCTGCTTAAGGGGATTCTAGATTGCTTTTTCAGTGAGCTTTTCTTTCCAAATTGATTAAGAGTTCAAATTGTTAAAGTTCTTCCAGGTAAAAATATGAAATTTTCATGGTGACTAATGTTTTTCTGGGTCAGGTGTTGGAGATCCCCGACCGGCACCAACCAGCATAGCTATATACTGTGCGCAGATAATACTGTGAAGTAAATATCAGCTGTTAACCAGTCATAGGCAGAATACTTCACGTTACATTTTGGCTGGTAACCTGCTTTGGCCGAGCAAAAGCATTTTGGTGTTGCCATGGGGTCCTCATGGATCTCTCACTAGCCAATTACATGTAACCCAGCCCTTTAATCCAACTCCCAAGCTGTTCGGCTGGACTATGCCGTTACATTGCTACTGGTCTTGTGGTAGACCAGTGATGGACGTCACTGGAAGCTGACGAGACAACTGAAATTAGCTTTAGAATAGATACTGCTATCGTGCGTATAACATGCACCATCATTCCCGGCCCCAGGAGCCGCTGACTCAAACATCAACCAAGGAATAAACCCTGACAAGCAAGAGCCTATTGTAGACCCTTTTTCCTGTGATGTCACAATCGTGCTGGACCGCGATATGTTGTGATGGTTATAAGTGCATAGTGTTGCGACGGTAATCTACCTATTCAAGATAAATTAATCAAGCATGCAGCATTCGCACGTGCACTTGTACATGGCTGAAGCTGCCCATAGGAATATATACAATCACCGTGGCCAAGGCGGTCCACGCGCGGTGGTATTGTTTTCATTTAGCGCAATCCAGTCACGTGGGTGAAAAGGGTCTAGATGAAGAAAAACTACCATCCTTAAGGTGTAGTGCATGTAATTCATAGGATTTAGCTTGAGAGCAAATATCCAATGATTATTGACATGTGTACAGTTGTCATTTTATTTTTTCAAACTCATTCTCGTGTGAATAGGATGGATGATCAAAGTGAAGGTTGCAGATTCATCCCAACTCGATGACCTGATGACGGAAGATGAGTACAAAACATTCGTCGCTGAATCCCAGAATGACTAGCAGAGAGAGAGAGAGAAAAAAGAAAGACTGGCAGATCTTCTGCATTTTTGGTTGTAGAACTCTTAATGTCCTGTGAGCAGTCAGGAATGTGTAATAGGAACAAAACCCCTGCATGGAAGTTTTGAGCGCCCCCCATCACCACTACCCCCACGAAAAAAAATTTAAGCGATATTGCTAATTGTTGAATTTCTATGCAAAGTAACACAATTCATGGCATTTGTTCTAGTAGAGGATTTAAAAGGTGATTGGTACATGTATGTTGTCGGTATTCACCAGTATTCAGATGTTTGCCATCTGCAGGTGGAATCTAGGATGAGCACATTTTCAGTTTCACCGATTGTAGCCCTCGTTTTTGGGGGGTGATAAATTCCAGCTTTTTTCCTACCCACTGTTGGCAAACAAAAATCCATTACTTGGTTCTTGCCTTCAAAATGATTTTGGTGGCATGATTTTTTTTGTTTGGTTTGGTTTTTGTTCACTATCTCCATGTACAGACCCAACTAAAAACAACCATTGGCTATTCAAACTTCTTAAATTACCCGGGCAGGTAAGTAAAAATTTACCTTTTTGCAAAAGCACGATTATTGTGTAATGTGGCATCTAATAAACATGAAAGATGCATCTCAAAGGTTGCAGTTTTTATTTCAGGAACTGTTCAAACAAAATTTGGAGAGTTAGTCATAAACAAAGGGTGGAACCTGTCACTGTTTCAATGTTGAATAAACTTCAAGAAAACGGTTTTGGAAAAAAATTAACAAAAATAGCCTCAAAATGAATTTTTTTGTTTTGCCTTTGGTTTGTTTTTAATTGTATAATGGTTTTAAACCTAAGTTGTTCCTTCACAGGTGCTTGGTTTCCAAATTTAACCAAAATCATTACAACTTTTAGAATTGTATAAACCTGTTGAACTATTCTGCACATCAGACCCAAGTCTAAAACTATCTAAGGCTTTTATACTTGATCATCTTTCTGTTTTAATAGCAATAGATCAACTTAACATGAAGTTTAGACCTGGGCCCAATTTCATGGCGCTGCCTACCGCAGAATTCAGCACGTACAATCTCCATTCTGCACTAACTGTGCTAGCAGAAAAATTCTGCGCTAACCTTTTAAGCACAGAATCCTTAGTTATGGGATGTACGCATGTGCACAAGCCCAAATTCCTCACTTACCCGTGAAATATGTTCGCCATGAGCTCCGACTTTTCACTTGGGGTAAGCAGCACCATGAAATTGGGCCCAGGACTGGTCGATGTAGTTTTATGACAGCGAGTGCTTGGACCTCGACTGATAAATTGTCCCCGTTTCCCTCTTCGAAATTTACTTTCCTCAGAAACTGAGCAGTTATTACTGAAATTGAATTCTAACAAAGTACATAGTGATACGTGCAGTTGTGCACAAAAGTTGATGCCTGGAAACTTGGCCGTTATCGATGGGGCAGTGTTAATGCCCCCTCCCCCCCAAAAAAAGCCAGGAAAAAGGGCGAAAGAAAAAAATGAAACCAAAAACAGAGGAAAGGGATGAATATCAATAATTTTCTTAAAAATGCCTCAGAACTGGTTCCCTTCCACCGTTGTTGGTTTGTTAATATGCGGCAGATGAGCGTTTGTCCTCGCACCCCTCCACCCCCCCAAAAAATCTGGCGATGACCATGTCTCAAAGCCTCGTGCTCAGTTCTTGGTTGTTCACAACACATGATGGTTGAAACCCTTCCAAAAACCATGCCAGCTGTGCAGTGAACAGCTTTAAGGGGCAACATTTTTGTGACCACAAAGCAGACCGTAGTGTACGGTCCAGCTTCTGTCTTTTTCACAAAATCTGCACAAAGGTCAAGTGTGTGGTACACGGAAACAATGGACCTTTCCTATGAAATCAGCAAATAAGGCCGGTGCATGCACATTACTATCACTGGTTGGCAAAATTGTTTAAATCTATGACGTAACAATACAAATCTCCATGCGCGTGCATCTATGAGCACATGTATACACCACCTCTGTAATCTTATAGTTTGACATGCCATAAGTGCCGAACTTAAAGACAAGTAATTGTTACTTTCCTACTTCAAAACACTGAAATCTTCTCTTAGTTTTGAGAAGAGCATGCGGAAGTATTGGACAAAGGGTATGGTTACAGCAGATCTCCTCTCAACAGTGTTGACGGCCGCGCTTGCCAACCAGGGGTAACAGCACATATGCGCCGGTCTAATTTGCATATTTCATTGAAAGGTCCATCGTGTAAGTTTTGCTGTGCATGTGCATTTCTGAACATTAAATAAAGGAAAAGCAAAACTGACAAAACGGTTGGAAAAACAAGACAGTTTAGTAAATTTATGTAATGATGCAGTTCGCTGCAAGCTTTAACGAGGCTCTAATACCCTTGATAAATCTTGATTTGCACTTCAAACTTCAAAGCCCCCAGATGTATGTGTCTGTCTGTGAGTGAACTACGTGGAGAGGACCCTTGTTCATAGACGCACCCCCTTACATCTGAGTGTAGTCCCCACCTATAAATGTACCTTTCAAGGGGTAGAATTTCCTGAAACTCTAATTCAGCAAACTTTCCCAATTGGTAATGGAAATTGTCATGGTACCAAATTTTGTTAAAATATCCCATATAAAAGGCTATGTGAACCCAAGAAATTTAATACCTTGTAACATTTCTTTACTTCTCTCCGATACTTGCAGTTTACAGTTTATTTGTGGGTGTATTAAATCAAGAACTGGTAAGAGCCAACTTTCCTGGGGCTGCATGTGTAAAAGTGCGTCATTTTGTAAGTAGCATTTACTACGGGTGATTCACAATAGTGCTCCACCAAGAGTTTGCAATGCATTGGCCAATCACAACTCATGAAATTTGTCAACCCTTTCCAAATACACATTGGGTCGACAAATTTCTCACATTGTGATTGGCCAACGCATTGCAGACTCTTGGTGGCGCACTATTGTGAAACGGCCATATTTCTCAATGCTACATGTACAAATGATTAGGAGAACCCAGTTGTTTGTAAACCACAGTTTGTAATGACCAGGCTGTTATAATAGGGAAAGGTGTATTAGCTTCAGGTTGTTTCTTTTAGAAAGTATTTACTTTTGGATGGAATTATCTGTGTTGGAAGTTGACATCAAATTGAGGATTATAAAACACAGCATTCAGAAGAGTTTTACAAATGTATATTTCTTGCAGTTGATTTCATTATAAAATGATATTGTTTCAACTGAACCCTCGGCGTCCCATTGGATTTCTTCTTTGTGGAACTCAGCTCTTCAGATCTTAAAAACACGATGTATTAGTAAACATACAACGAATACATGTGGTTCATCATCTCCTTTAAAGTGTGCACTGCATCTCTATTCTATATCAGGTAAGTTTCCCTTCGAGATTCTATTGAAAAGATTTTGTTAGAAAACTTTTCTCCCTCAAAAGTAATATTTACCTTTCTGCAAGACTTGCCTCACTAATTTCGCAATTTTTATCAAACTTGCTCTGAAATGGTACATTTAACGAAAAAAAAAAAATTGCCAATATTTGAAAGATTGAATCACTCGAAAACCAGAAACTTTCGATAATTTATTCTTCACATTTATTACAAATATAATCCTGTGAAACACATACTCCCAACAGAAACCATTTTGACCTGTGAATGCAGGTGGTTTGAATCCACCACTTGTAATATCAGTCTGTGGGCTTCAAGAAAGTCTCGAGTGGGCCAACGGACGTCATGGAAAGTGGAGGTGATCAAAGATACAAGTGCATTCACAGCAAAATGAGGTGTTTCAAATGGGCGAATTCTGATTAATATCCAAATAATACACAAGGAGAACGATAGTCAATTTTAAACTACCTACGTGTAAGTTGCAAACAGTGGTTGGCACAGGTGTTACTGACCTCGAAGGCACAAGGCCAATGCTAGTGTGCATTTTTTGGGGGGTAGGAATAATCGCAAAATACAGACGTGCTTTTGTAAGAAGTTCCTACCCCTTTCCCAGTGACTTTAAAACTGCATGCCAAAAATTTATTATTAAAGGAAAATGCAGACAGAGAAAAACATTTTACTGTAATCTACACAAACAGAACCCTGCAATACTTGCGAGTAATTGCTGTATATGTTTGATGAGAAATCAGCATTTGCTCAAATTACTTCACGGCGAAGCCCCTTCATGGTCTTCAGGTTCTGGCTGTAAGGGGCTCTGGCTTACGGTGAATACTGCAGATATCGTCACGTCAGTGCAACAAGGTCGTATCTCATATACAAAACAAATGCAAGAAACGACCTCGGCTTTTTGAGGCCTTGATATTATCATAGAGCTACAAACCCTAGCTCTAAGATATGATCAAAGCCTTTATCCTACAAGGACTTCCATAGTGTACATGTAGCCAACTACAATGCTGAAATGGCAGAGAAAAAGACCAATAAAAGCACTATTCTTACAAAGTTCTCCAAATGGAGCCCTTTTTCAAATAGGATGTACTACCATGATATAATTACAATTTAGAATAATGACAATGCTTTCATGCAGAGAAATAAATACACACAGGTACATGTTTTGAATTTTTCAGATGTAAGCCAATATACAGCATCAGCAAGATTTCAAAGGGAAGCAGAAGTACTTCTAACCCTAACTGCCCGGTATCCATCAAACTCCTACAGCACGTTTTGCTAGGTTTTGGCAGGTTTGGTACCATACTTGATTAACCAATTGTTGAATTTTGTTAGACTTGGTATCAAAGGCCCAGGGTGATGGTGTTGGATTCTGTGTGAGTTGTGCGCAGTGTCTCTGGCTTGCTGTACCAATTGTTGGACTACATGTATGCTTGATTTTGTCAGGTTTGGTACTATTCAGTGCAAGTCATCCTATACTGCATACAACCATCCATACCATATCACTCAAACTCCACTGGGCTCATTCTGTTGGAGTTAATCAGGTTTGGAACAGTGACCTGCATGTGCAAGTACATGGAAAAGTACATACATGTATCTGTTGAAGTTTGTTGGGTTCAGTATGCTCCCTAGAGCAAGAATCTAGGGGGTAAGGGCTAAGCAGTGAAATGTCACGGACTTCCCACAGCTAAATCTTTCTGGTCTTTAAACAATTCTTGCCTATCAACAAGGGTGGCCTTATTTTGCTTTGTTCTGCGAAGAGTTTAGGTTGTAAGTCCTGATCTAGACTGTGACCCAGTTTCCCACATCAAATCAAACTGTTGCAATTTCTGAGGTCAGAAAACGGTAGTTTCAAACCAAGTTAAATCAACATTGAGATGGGCCTGCCAAAGTCAATGGATATTTATCCAACAACCAGTGCCGTTTTTGAAGTACACGTTAATAGAGGGATTCACATTCCATGTTACAACTTTCATGACAGGCAAGGAATCTGGAAAAAATTACAAAAGTTTCCAATTAATATTTGAAGGATTAACTGATTTTCATTTCTACTACAAAACTGTTCATTACCTAATACTTCAGAGGTAAATGTTTGGGTGAAAATGCTAAAAGTCACATTAAAACAGTCCACCTCTGTTCACATAGTCCCTGGCGACCTCTCTGTGCTATCCCACTTCTGCAACCATATTTCTCCCTAATTGTGACCTCCCATCCTGACCTTCTTGCGGACGTACTCCTTCTGTTCCTCATTCAGTCCCAGCTCTTCAATCTCCAGCTCCAGGTTCTTGAGCATGCCGAAGCCTCCCAGGTAGCCATTGAGGCGGGCGGCCGCGTGCGAGGTGATCATCTCCTTGGAGCTCAGGTTCAGGCTCTTCAGCAGGCCCTGGTGGTGGCGCAACATGTACTTCTGGTGGTAGCTGTGCAGAGAGTTATCAGCAAACCAGACTGTCCATTAACCCTGTCCATTAGGACATTACGCTTCTCCATTGCTTTCAGCACTGTCAACATTCAACCTGTTGCTCTATCCTTAAAGTTGACTAAAATTAGCCAATTTGGTATTTCAAAATGGCCAGGCCATTCGAGAGCAAAGCACTCTAACGAGTCAGAATTTGGCCTCACTGATAGGGCAAACCCCTGCTGTTCCTGAATGACCCGGGGCCTTCTTTGTTTTGGGTATGCTCAGTTGGAAAACCAAACTGGCTCACTGCACAGCCTATGTTCAACCTTATTTGACCACTGATGAACAAAGGTGCAACGTGACATAAAAATCTCAAAGAAAGCATACATGTATCAGAAACTTGCTTGCAGGGAACAATCAAGCTGCCTTGGGTTTATGTAGTGCAGGATTCATGTTAACTGATGCCACTTACATGCATCACCTAGACAATGACGATTTCTTGATTGACACCCTAAAAATATGAATAGCCAATTTGATTGCCTCATTCATTGTTCAACATGTCTGGCTGAAACTGGTACTGAGTTCTAAAACCTGACATGATTCTTGCTAAAGACTTTTGGAATCTGTTGAAGGTATTAAACAGCTCTGAATAAAAATGTGGAATGTGCTGTTCAGAGCTGGGTTGCAAACACATGGGCACATGCTAGTAATAGACATACGTGTAGTTGCAGTCCTGCTGGCCAATTTTGGATGGCCAATTTTTTTTTCTCTTTTTGAGGAAACTATATCTCTCTTGGCAGCTACACTCGATGACAGCTTCACAACATGAACCTTCTTCATAAAATTTATAACAGATACGACATGGAAATACCACGACTTACTCCTCCGCGTCGTAAAAGGTTTCGGCAAACTTGATGCGAGTCTGGATTTGGCGGGTGACTTTCTTCTGATGCTCCTCCTTGGTCTTCTCGGCTAGCCGCTTCTGGTCGTCCCCGTGGTAGAAGATGGCCGACATGTACTGGCGGCTGGTGCACGCTGTACTGTTGTGGCTGTTCCAGAAGATGGTGAGAAGGGTTTCGTAGCTGGTCTGCTTCGGGTCAAACTCAATTTGAATAGTTTCCGTGTGATCACCACTGTGTCAAGAAAAGTGCATGCACAACTCAAAATCTCGATCTGGGCAATTTCATTTTACACTGAATCAAACGCAATCAATTTCAAATCAATCAACACTGTGCCCAGCAACGAAAATGATTAATTCAGCCAAAACATGTCTTGACATGTAGAATTTTTGTGTCTGATTCTCCGATGGTTCTACCTTGATCTAGTAAATTAAGAAATACTTATAAGCTCTGGAGCTTGTGAAATACACGTATATGCTTCTATTAGTGATAAGAAAAAGGTGAAAGGTCACTTTAGTCATACTTTGAAAAATTCCAGATTTAAGTTTGCATACAGAAAAAAATTTGCATTTTTAACCATGAACGGTTTATTTGTGTCTATATAAGATGTTTTCTCTGTAATTTGGTTTTTCGTTCCTTTTTTTTTTTTTTTTAATGTTTAATAGTTTATAGTTTGTGATGTTTTAAACTTTGTAAATCATGTTCAATTCAGCTGACGCTGCGAGGCATGATTATTAATAAACCAATTTGAATGAATAACAGCAGAAAAAACTCGCCAAACTTTCCACGAGTGAAAAAACGTGATCCTTGGTATTTCTTCTGCTCTGTTTGAGGTTTCATTCATTTCCACTGTTATCAGTTTGGGGGCTCCAAAACACTGTATCGAGAGTTCCAGATTTTCAGATTTTGGAAACTCCATGTCTAACACTACCTAAGTTCCACTGAGCATTAGAACTGCATTTCCCAAGCTAACGTACATGTACATGTTGTATGACATGGGAAACTGAAATCCTGATCAAATCTAACATTTTTTTCCCCAAAAAACTGTTGGTTTACTCAGATACTTACAGGCTGTGGTAGGTTGGGGACTTTTTGGTCCCACCTGTGTACCCAACCCTGGTACGGATGACCCCCTTGGCGCAGCCAAACTGCGCCTCGGGGAACCAAAATCAGCTCAAGGCAAAGGTAGCCTTCTCTGTCGGCATGTCTGGCTCCTTACGCGGCATGTTGGAACGTGGTAGCTGGGAGGAAACAACAAAAACTGAACTGACTAGAAGTAACCAATAGGAAAATCTCTCATCTAATCAGTAGATCCATGATACATGCCACGAGTAGCAACCAATGACAATCTTTGTGCTAACATGCCAAATGAATAGATGGTTTCATGGGCTGCAGACCAAACTATTGCTCGGGAGTTTGTTTAACTCCAGCCCTAACATCATGATGTACTCAGGACCGGAAGCTACTGCTCAAAGATTCTGGGAAAGAGTTCCACATCTAGACATCACTTGACACCCTATGCACAAAGCTAGGACATTGATCTGAAAAATTTCATGTATTTTCTAAGTAAATGCTTTAATATTATCCCTGCTAAATTTAACTTATAAAACATGTCATCACTTCCTGACGTGTAGGGAAAATGGGTGATGTCCGTGTACGGAACTCTTCCCTGCTGGAATCCAGTCAACAGGGTCAAAATCGTTAATGCTCATTTTCTACTAACGAAGTGGCTCTTGTTATGGTAATCGCAGCGCGCCTTCAAAAATCAACAGTTCATCACAATGGGCGAAGCATAATTAGCACAGCCAATCTATGTCAGGTTTTGATTTTCCTCTACTGTTGAGACAGTGCAATGGCTCTAGAGTCAATTGGTACACACACTGGTCTAAAATCCCAGCGTCATAGATCGAATCCACTCGTCAGGGGATTTTCTTTTCAATTTTTTCTTCTTTTCTTTTCTTCACTTTCTCAATCAAAACCCCATGTTTACTTTGTATATGAATACACATTTTCTCTTCTTATCTGGTAGATTCACATCCCTGGAGCATTTTTTAAGACGAAAAAAGTCCAATCTCAATCCATTCGTTGTTGACTGGTTCCTGTTTCCAATGCACCCAAATTGTGCAAGAAAGTGGACAAAAAACCTGTCCAAACTTCACAACAACAGCCACTGCATTCTTTTATAACACTTGCCAACAATTAAAATCTGATTATGGAGCTATAAAACCTGAAAACAACATAACAGTTTCAACCATGCAGACATGGATCCAGGGGGTGGGTTGGGGTTGAACCTCATCCCCCACCACTCTGAGACAAAAAAGTTTAAAAATGGTGAAAATAACTTTTAAAAATAATAAAAATAAGTGCACCAACATTTTTAACAATGTTTGCATGGTTTGTCACGCAACATTTCATCATTTCCGCTTGTCTGCACAAATTAGATATTGTGCCTTTTGCGACTGTATATGATCAAATGGGACATCCTTTCCTAACCTCCATGAATGGAAAGAGTTCCATTACGCCAACACCACTTGACACCCTATGCGTGAACCCTTTGAGACCGGTCTGAAAAAAATCTAGCCAATTATCTCTAAAATAAAACCATAACCATGAAAACATTATCATGATTTACTCCTTAACCGAAATTTTCTTGCATTTTACAACTCACTGACCAACGAAGAACAAAATAAAATGTCATCCAGTCATGTCATGTATATGATGAAATACTTCCCCAAGAAGTAAATAAATTTCTTTTCTTTTTACCTCTTCTGTAGATGATCCTCCGCCCATGGGATTCAACTGATGAAATGACGGACTCAACGCAGATAGAATAGACCAGGAAGAACGACACCGGACGCTGGTAACACTGGCTCTAGACACCGCTACGGGAGCTACGACATGTACAAAATTACTGAACGCTAAACGGATGCCATTGGCAGCCAGAGCAGGCGACATTTGCCAATCAGGAATGGGAACAACTGACGTCAGTGCCTGTGTATGAAGGTGAACCAGGAAGGAAAGGTATATAACTCTCTCACTAGTCACGCCAGTCCGCTCCAGTAACAGAAGAAAATGTCACGTCATGCCGCAAACAATGAAACGACAGCTTTTTTGTAATTGTAGGAGTGTCAAGTACACGTACAGCACAGGACCGTACTAAGGGTTATGTACCAGTATATGTATTGATCTTATGCAACCAACTAACCAAATGAACGTGTAGATCGTGCGGCTACGGAAGCCGCGAGTACAATCCGCAAAACATCAAATTTGTTAAACTGTCATTGCTCTTTAAGCCGGAGCGGAAAATTAAAGACAAGCTCCTTCATTAAGAGAAAACGGTAGGCGGTAACACCTACATGAACGGTAAACAACGCCCCGTAAGCTTTTTTACACATCACAAAGTCTTCTGCTTGCAAGTTGTTTCAACCATGGAGGAAGGAAAACAGAATTTCCGCATTTCCTGGGCTCCCAATTACCCTGGATTTGATTGAAAATAATTTTAGAACATTCAGGCAGAGATGTTGAGTAGTGCCAACTTCAGTTGAAATCGAAATGGCCGACGATTAGGTGTGCAGTGCAGCATGCAACTATTGAGTACTAATTGTCCATGTTCACTGACATTATCCGGCTGGTGCCGTTCCGACAACTGAGACAATCATCTCGCAATCGAATTCTCATGTGCAGCTCTGCACTCAGGACATGCGGGAGAGTACAAGTTTTATAATTGCCTGAATATTGGTAAAACAAGCACTGTAAATTTACAAAAGAACCACTGGATTGTGCCTACTGACAGTTGTAGCAATGCGTGGAAATATTTTTCAGCATTAAAGATTTAGAAACATGGAGATCATCATCTCACAAGAGCACCCGGGTTGTCTTTGACACTTGAAGTTCCTTTTATTATTCAAATCATTAACTGCAAAATTTCCATTGGTAGTAAACGTGCAATTTCCAGCATTTATTAGATTAAAATTATTTTTGGTTACAACAATTTACCAAAACTTTAAAAAGAACTAATGATAGAGCAATGTGCACTCAAATTGCTCCATCAAGAGACTCCAAGAGAGCTCCCAAAAATTCACACAAACTGCCTGAGTTGTAATTAGATTAAGTTCTCAAATGGGAAAAGGAAAGGTTGCAGATATAAACATATTCAGCCATAACATAACCTCGACCTGATGAGTTCAAAAAATTAAAAATTATGAAGACTAGAACAAAGCTCTGAATGCTTATTTCGATGCTTTAGGAAGCCATGTGGCAAGGTAATACTCTGATAATGTAGTCAACTATTTCTTTGTTGAATTCTGAACTACACACTAAAATATTAAAATACTGTTTTTGCAAAAGAAGTTTTGATCAAAAGTTCGGAAAGTTGCGTGTGGACCTTGTGAATAAAATCAAAGGAGTTAAGAGCATTTAGTTTGCAACTGAGGGCCACGAAAGGGCTGTAGCATTGCTCAGTTTTGAGAATAAAGTAAATCTGAGTATGAGTGAGAATACCAGGGCCAAAGTTGGAGGAGTTGGCTAAGCAGGAATTATAGCTTAACAACTTTGTGTTGCTTAGCAAGGTCAGTTGAGAACCATTTGCCACAATATAAGTTACCTGCACAAATAACTCTGCCCTTGGCAACTACATACAATTGACAATGAAAGGGAAACCAGCTGGTACCCAATCATTCCTTAATATTCTGACCATCACACTGGGAGACTGGGAGCCAGTCTGAGTCTAGCAGGGAGAGCCAGCTCATGTAATGCACTCGGAAGGATAGGTAATGGCTAGGAATTACACTTGTGCCAATGGAAGCATCTGTTCGGAGGCTGCTGCCACTTACCATAGGAGAATATATTAAGTCACAACAATAACTTCTAGAGGGAATTTTCTTTGTATCAGGGCTGTGGCTATGTCTACTATTAGCATGTGCCCTTGTGTTGGAGACTGGGACCTAGCTCTAGTGACATAGCCATAACCTTACCACTAAATGAGCTTATTAGATTGGCTACTTTGTAAATGCATCAACTATTCTAAGCTACATTACTTTCGAGCACACTGAAAAAACAGAAAAGCAAATAAAAAAAACAAAAATCTTCTTCAAGGAGCCTGCCAATATACAACATGTCATTATGTACTGAAATTCTTTTTCACACTATTTCCTCATGGAGTAGAAAAATATTTCCTTGAAGGTGCCTTGAATTACACTCCGATCACGTCGCCATAGGAACAGCTGTTTTCTATTCCAAGATTGTACTGGCCTCCCGAGCCGTTCTTGTATGTGCTTGTAACAGTGCGGTACCAACCATTCTCACCCTACAGAAAGAAAAAAAATCAGTTTAAAACAAAAACAATGAAAGAAACAAAAAAACATGAATGAACAAATACAAGAGAAGGAAGTAGCTGGGCATTTTTTGACACTCAATACACAGAGTTATTCAACACTTTTGTTAAGATTCCGATAACATAAATGCTTTACCCGACAAGACAAGCCAATATCTGCACACCAAACCCTACCTCTCCTACATCCCTCAACATCCATCGCAAGTGGTTTTTTTTTTTTTTTTTTTGAGAATTCTGGCATTTCTGCAGACACTTCTAAACCCAACCATTATCAATTCACATGGGGCTTGATGTTTTTCGGAAGTACAAGGAGTGTTCAGGGGAGGATTTGGGAAGACTGAGGGATGTTTCAAACTCACGGTGTCCAAGTGCTGAGGGTCATTTTGAACTCAGTGGTAAATGGCTCAGAGCAACAGGAAGTTTCCAAAAGCGAACATTATTTTTGCTTGCTCAGACTGAAATAAACCAAACAAAGTCTTACCCAGGGTTGGCCCCAGGAGTTGCGGACCACCCAGTACTCAACGCCGTTCTCATCCACTCCCCAACCAGCTACGGCGATAGCATGATTGATCTACAGCAAAAAAAAAAATAGAAAAAGAAAACATCACTTTGGCACGTCTGCAAAGTTACGAACAAAAAACAGACGTGATTTCCTTCAAAGAATTTGTAGGTCGATGCCTGTATCCAAACTATGAAAACGTAATTAAAAAAGGTACCTCTGGTTGTGGTATGTACTGAGTGTAGACCTTGCCTCCTCGGAACTGTTCGAGTTCAGGTGTAGCTTCAATTCCACAACTAGGAATAAAAAAAAATTAGAAAACTTCAGTTGTTTAGCCCTCTTCCCTCAGTCTTGTAGCTCCCATAATTCTGTCATCTATCAAGAACTTCTTCATCTGGATCCAATTTTCTACAACATTTCACAACCAACTTATCTAAAGTCCTCACATCCAAGTTTGCCACAGAGGACAAGCTTTTCAAATCTTGCACTGCCAGTGAAGTTAATGCTTTTCGTAATCTGCCTTGCTTTCAACTTCAATTTTTTCCCTCAAGGGTGGAATATTTAAAATTGTTAGCTGATAAATTACATCTACCTGATTGGCCCATTTTTGTATATTTCCTTCATCATCATCTCGCGGCCAGAGATTCGCCCATAATCACCCACCATCCAACGGGTGTAATTCTTCTCCGGATATGAAAAGCAATCCCCGAAGGTAGAGCAGGTTCCACACTCATTGAAAGGTGTACATTCTATCCACAAAGGAAAGGAAGGAATAAGGTTGCATCACGCTTAGAAACCTGACCTTCCAACTTGGGAGCATCAGAAAGAATCATGACTGCTGTATAACGATTGCAGCCATTAGGCTGGATACTGCTCTGATTGTAGGCGCTTAACAAGCCGTCTCACAGGCTGTGATAACAAAAAGCTGGATGGGAATTAATATATCGGACCAGATTTGTGTATACATCCAATTACCAGTTAAAGCCCAATTATTAAAGCCTAATTAAGAGATTATCATCTTAAACCAGAGGTGGAACTACCCACGTAGTACTGAACACTGCTGATTCTACAGACATCAGATCTAGCACAAAAAGGTCCCATCCTGGCAGATCTTCTTTTAAAACCAAGGAAACTCTCCAATAGCACAGAGGACTTTGAGAGTATTCCCCAACCAAACAATTGACTGGTTGTAGACCCTTTGCTTTAGGCTCAACAGACCTCTTCAACTTCAACTTGGAAACTCCAAACACAAAAGCGATATATATGTAGTTTCCTTATTTGGTTTGTTTGATAATGTGTTCAAAAAGCCACATCCTCCTGACGTGATCCCTATTCACCACTCCCTAGGTTGCATCACATGTTTGGAGAGGGATCCCTTGTTTCAAATTTTATGCCTTCTGACTAGCGCTACTCAGCAAAGTTGTAACAAATGGGAGGAACCACCACCACATGGCTTGGAACTTCCATTAGCAGAACTCCAGTATGGTGTTCCAGACGTCATAGGTTCAAATCACGCCTTGGTCGATTTCTTTGTTAATCTTCAGGACTAAACAAAACCTGTTACTTACTCTGATCTTTAGCCTGGTAGTTATTGCACGTCTCATCTGGGATTCCCTTCTTGTGGGCGTAGCCATACACTCCCAGTGGACTTCCTCCTTCACAACTCCCAGCTTCGCCACAATCGATGACGTTCTGAGGGGACAGGTAGGCGGAGGGCCAGGCATTTTTGCGCAGAATGTTGATGCGATCTAAAGTAAAAAAATTCAAAGTGAGAATTATGTTCAAATATAATCTCAGGAGTCGTCTCTTTGTGGGCTTTTGATGCTGGCTTTGACATATAAATATGTACATGTAAAGGACCAACTTTGACCCAGAAAATAAAAATATATAGCAACTTCAGAAGCTGAGCCAAATGATAGGTAGCTGGGAACCAATCATAGGCAATGCATACATCACTGTAGTAGTTTTGGCTGGTAACCTGTTGTCTCTCCGTGTTAACCTTAATCACATTCATTCACACAGCACCTCCATGAAAAAGCTCCCTGGCATGAAGCACTCCCAATGACAACAATTTCTAGAGAAAGATGTTGGCATTTCAAACATTGCTATCCAGCTCAAACTTTGCAATCTTGAACGCTCAATCTGTGACCATGTGAAGTCCTCACTACTCATTTCTCACCTTTTGACCCACACTCAGCAACTTGTCTGATCCTAGTGGTCTGACACCTCAAGATCCAGCAGCTACAAAAGAACTACACAGTCCCCTGTGGTACATGTACTCACGGCTTATATCTCATTTAATACTCAATTACTCATCAGAGCAGGACGAGTCAAATGATTCCAGAAAATATGCTGTACAGAGTAATCATTCTAAACTTAGCATTTTCAGGTATGAGGTGCTAAAAAGATCAACAAAAGCACTCAAATTGATCTAACGACTCACAGCTGGTACTCACCAGCTATTGAGCTAGTTGTGCCCATGGACCAGCAGCTTCCACAGTACTGTGGTATGTGTTGGTTTCGTGTTGTACTGGCATAGTTCACCCCACTGATGTTGCGCCAGTCCCACTGTTTGGGTAGATCTGACAACTTGACATCCCAGTGGGGCCTTGGATAAGTACTGCACGGGAATGCAATTTTATAATATTCACATTCTTCCACCTGTGTCTCTATTTTTTAAAAATTTCGAAAATATATGTTACCACAAAATAGTTGAGCATAATCAAGACCCTCTACCCCTGACGGCCTGACTGCAAAACGTAATAATGAACACAAATATAATTGTAAAAAACAATAAACCAAACTTAAAACCTAGTCATGTTTTAATGCAATTACTATTTTATGAAAATTTGCTTAAATCTTTTAAACTTATCTTGAAATCTTAACATCTTCCGTGTCCTTTCAAATCTATATCACATTATCCGCAGCATGTGTCAAAAAAAGTTTTACTTTTTTGCCTTTAGAAAAATACTTTTGTGATAATTTAATATTTGTGAGCACATTGTAAGTGTTATATTCTAATGATGTTTCTTTCTCGATGTTGCTTGCTTAACTTTAATTAATCAGGACAATTCAAGAAACAACATTAGATTAGAACAGAAATTATACATATCAAATATTGAATTTCATGTCTAATGACGTTAGGAAAAAAACAAGCGCATTACCTTACTCCCTTCTCCTTTTTCTCCAAATCTGTTCTGTAGCACGGTTTGCCTGGTTGGAAATACTTCTGCGCCGATACACAGACAAAAGAGCTGAGAACTAGGCCGAGTGTAAGTGCCAAAAGTTTGGCTTCCATGTTTTCGAATGATTCTTCTTGTTACTTACCGTCAAAAACTTGAGACAAATATAGGAATTAGGAGTCAAGGAGACCTATAATTTAAGTATAACTTAAATAGCGGACAGTTTTCTTTTCCGGTACTTCAAGAATCAAACTACCGTTCACTTTTGTCAGCACCGTAAGTATATCCTTCTTCCGCGCTGTGAATCGGAGACCAGGATTATGAAGCTGAGGCGTAGGCAGATATGGGACTTTCTCTTGTTACTTTGCTAGCTAGTGCGGTAAACACGAAAGCATGTGACTGTAATGCGCGTGACAGTCTGGTTACCAACTACGCTTTCCTATCAGAGCTGCGCTGAGGTGACTGGGTATAGGCTGTGGATGATGTAACCCAATTGGTTATAATGACCTTCAACCCCGATATTCAACAAATAGTTTGTGAAGACGGTGGCCTCTAAAGACCACGGTAAAGCTTCAAGTCAGTGGCATTCTCGAGGTCGGAGGTTGTTCCATTTATTGCACTTGACGTCTGGGCAAAGAGGCAACTCTCCATTCACTTTCTACAGGGATTAGCATATTTTCCTTGTTTTTGCACCAATATGACAAAAATAACTGAAACCTTTTCAGTACAGTGTGGGAGATGTTTATAGTGCATAATAGTGAATTTTCAGACACATTTGATGTAAAGGTCAAGAGTTTAGCCTCATAATTCAGATTTTTCCCCATAGACCGCAACACTATTTTTGCCCCTTTGAGTTTTGAGAGTGAAATATGGAATAGCCATCAATTAACCAATCAGGGAGAAGAATCAAGAATCAGTGACATCATCCCGACCTCTGGAATGCACATGTAATTACGTGTGATTATTAAATTTTCAAAATCAAATTATGTGAGAATATTTGAGAGTTTGGAATTAATAATAGCTAACTCAGCTTGGGGCTAGTGAGCAGCAGCTGGTCGCGTGATGTGTAACCTGTGATGTGTAGAATCATTTTAGTCACCGAGAGCGCTTGAAAAGCTGAGGGGGCACGGTGCTCCCCGAAAGCATGATTTCTGTAGGCAACTGATCTCCGAGTCCGTTAATTGTAAAGAGAGATCGTTGAGAATATGGTGATCAATGTGTAGGCTCTACTGAGAGTACCAACTACCGGTACTACAGACTTTGGAACCAAAATGGAAGTGTGCAGTACTAGCGTGCAGCTATTGTGTGCTAATTTTCCATGTCCACAAACGCAGAACCCACCTTTTAGTTCTAACAATTGAAACGCCCAAAAGTACAGGCTCAAACTCCCTCCATGAATAGCCTTTCGTCAAGGCCTTCGCGGCTGTGTTTAGAGTAACTGCAAAGCAGCTTGTCGGACCGGAGACCACATGCACGAGTGGCGCAGCCGTAAATTTAACGAACTTTTATATTTTGTATGATTTCAAATCATTTAAATTTTTTTTGAAAATTAAAGTAAGAATAATCTGCATGTATTAAAAAGTCCAGATTTTACCTTGCAATAATATTCCTGCCATTCCACTCCGAACTCCACTCAATATTTGTATAACATTTCTGATTTTTATATCTTATGAATATACAGAGCTTTTTAATATAATTGTATGATTTAGGTGTTGTAGAAAGTTCTATTCAAGCTATCGAAGTGTTTATTTTCCCTTAATAACTGTATCCTTGTTTGAGATTTCAATGGAACCACTCGTATTTTTGTTTTGATATGGAAAGAAAAGTGGCGTGAAATGAAAATCAACTTGTTTTTATTTATTCGTTGCCTTTATATACTGGTTTTGCCTTCATATATTAGGTTTTGCAGTTTTCGTTTTCCAAGCTTATGCAAATCATATGTAGGTGATTTCACCAATCACAGCTCGCCATATCAGCGAACTGGTCACCTGACTTTAAGATGACGTCACATACACTGTCGCCTGTGTTTTTATTGACGAGTGTGCTAGCGCCACGATATTCTGTTCCTGGTACAAAAGTTACATCATTAATACCTGCATTTTGAACGCAGTACTGCCTGCCCATCTCCGAGGTGGACCTCTGAAGACTGCAGCTTCAACTCCAGTGGCATATATTCACCGAAATTATGTACACTGCGGACTACGGGAGGAGTAAGTTATGTAAGTTTGGGAGTTGAACGAGAAGAATTAGTATTGGATTGTACACGTTTGTACGCGTTTGGGCGTTGGTGTAGCTACAATGCTACAACCATCCATGCTACAACATAGCATAACCCTTCCTAGACTAATTTTCTGGGTCATTTGGCTTGGTACGCAATTTTTTTTTCTTACCGTAATTGAGTAGAGATTTTTATTTTATCTTTCTTTCAAAATTTGAATGGACGTTCATCAATCTTCAGGTGTAGGCTTCATGGTTTGTGACGTTTATTAGGCCCCCAGTATAAAGTGATTACAATTATGCAAAGAAGATGAACAAAGAAATTGACTCGGGTGGGATTGGAACCTGCGACCTCTGGAGCACCATACCAGTGCTCTACCAACTGAGCTACTGTTCATTTTTGTAATCATTGATAGGCACCTAGTCGCTTTCCCAACGTAGTTTCTTTCATGATTTACAATTTGAAATTCCAAAAAATAGGGTCATCGCAATAAAGTGAATGATGCCTGTGTTTTTGGGGTGGACTTACCAGGTTTGCAAGATTAAAATGATAAAATCTGGAGGGTCCCTCAGTATACAATCCCTGCCCAACATGAACCTTCTTCTATAGGAATTATAGGGTCCCTAAATACGCAATCCCCCAAATATTGGTCTCTATTTTGCGTTTCATCACTGCCATTCATTTACTAATACCTCTTTATTCTCGATCAACCCTACCAATCCGGATCCCAAATCCTTCAAAATCCTTTGGGCAGTTTTGAAGGATTTTGGAAGATTGATGCGGCATGGCAAAATTACATTGCTTGTGGCAGAGGATGCATTGTCTCAAGGTTGTTGGTTAGACCCTGTGTTGTTCATGAATTTATTCATGCATAAATTCATGCCCACAAATACAAATCCTCCTTACTGTTCCACGATACCATATATACACTCTGCCTCAACATAATGAGAGGAATTGCCCCATGATTTGGAAGGATTGAGGCAGTGGGCGCCCCTCCACAGAACATATTTGTGAACTATCAGAGGAGTGAAGCTGTATCCAATTTTTTCTTGGAGGCAGTTGAAGGATTTTGAAGGATTTGGGGTGTATCCTCTGAAAAGGGCCTAGACGGTCAGGGTTAAAAGAACAGACTGTTAGAATGAAGTTTGGTTCCCCTTTCCCTTCATGAGTTTACAGTGCTTCAGCAACTTGCCAAATACTTTGAGGTACCAGTCTGCAAACACATGTAAAACCAATACGCAAACATGTCTTATATTGATATGATATGAGTAAGGATTTAGAAGTCACAAATGTTGTGTTTCCTTTTACAGTGTACATTAAAGGAATTAAAACAGGTGGATTTGTCCCCCCAGACAGCCAAATATTCTAAGTATCTTCACAGACAATTATATTGTCAGTTACACATAACAGTCAAGTCCTCAGGAGTTTCAGTGTGTTTTTAATATGAATTTGATTGCTGAATTATGCAACAGTTGTAAAATTGAATTTGCATTTGGCCTCGCTTTTAATGAATATTTTTTTTCTCCTACTTTTAAACAGGAGTCACAGCTAATGTTGATGGGCATCACAAGTAACCGGTGTTAAACAGTACAAGCAACTCATTTTGAAAAATATTGAGAGTCTGAGACCAGACTGATCTTCCTACATACGTCAAGATGGAGCAGTTAACAGGGATGCCTGTCACATTATTAATCAAAGCACCTAACCAGAAGTTGGGGGACCAGACTGTTGAGTGCTTCCTCGATTGGAGCGTGCAGAAACTAAAAAACCACCTCGCAAAAGTATATCCTAGTAAACCAGTGAGTAAATTGTTTTTTTTCCCCATTTCTAACAAAATCTTTTTTTCTCTCACAATTACTTCAACTCTTTGGTTGTGTATAGTTATGAAATTGGAATATTCCAGATTGTTAGAATTTGTTTAGACTCTAGATGCCTTGTATTAGAATATGGCTCTTGTTATTTAGCTTAAATGTGATGGAAATGTGGTTGACTTGACCCTGATTCTGCCAGATGCAGCACAGTGCATCAGGTGAATAAGTCTGATGCACTTTGATGCACTGGGCAATCAACAGCAGCCAAACAAACTGGCCATGTTGAGACAATTGGAGCTAGTCCCAATGAACAATGCTACTGTCGGATCTTGTGGTGTCTGGCATCCACAGACTCTCAGGCTATTTGGCCTTGATAAGAGTTGACCGTGGGATCTTGTTAAACTTTGACACATGATGCAGACTGGTGTGTCTGGCAGGGCTTCTAGCCAAACTATCCTGGAGGGTTAGGGTTAAGATGTTACTTGTATGAACCTAACTTTTATCAAATGAAAATTTGAAACTGTGATATTTCTTTCACTGAAGTCCAGTAACACAGAAGCTTTGTGGTAAAAATTGCAACAGAAGTGAAAGCAGGCTTGACGCAATTTCCTTGATGCATTACATATCTGTATGCTTTGACTTTCGGTCTTGAAAATAATTTGTTGGCAGTTTTCTTTGTAATTCATATAGGTCTCCCTATCTCATCATGCATTTTTTCCTGAATCTATTTTTAGAATGAGAAGAATCAGAGAATCATTTATTCTGGCAAGCTGTTAAAAGATAACTTGCTACTGAAAGATGTTTTAAGACTGGTAAGTAGTGTTATATGAACCACATACATGTTTAAATGGAAATGTACAAGTTCTTTAACTTGTTTCTGTTTATTTTCTTTGCCTTGTATTGAGCGTATATTTGATTACATGTCATTAAAATTTTACTAGTATATAATGGCATTTGATGCAAGAATGGATTCAAACACATATGGCACTGGCATAATTTTTTTTTGTTGGAAGTGGTTCGTTGTTCTGAATTGTTATGTAATGATACAAGTTCTTTTATCCACAAAGTGGATAATATTGTTTATTAACTTCAGGTTATTTTGAATTCTGTTTATACCATTCAGTAATTGCTACATACATGTAAAGCTTCAGCAGATATTGTAAGTGTAGGAAAGTGGATTTTCAATCAGTGCTCATGCGACCCACTCGACAAAACATTTCTAAAATGGCCAGAGATTTTGTCTCCATGTTCATTTGCTTTTTCAGGTTTTATCTCATTCATGAAATCTTAGCTCCCCAAACGGCCTGTTAATTAATCCCCCCCTCCCACTTTTTCGTCAGGATGACAAGTCCCTCCAGCACCACACCGTTCATCTCGTCTGTTCGCCCTCTCCGGAAGAACTCCTCCAGCCCTACAAACCCAAATCCAGCCCGTCACCCATGGCAGACCAGGTGCCATCATCGTCGTCAGTCCAAGGCAACTCCACGGGAAGCTCTAGAACAGACGGGGGAACGACCACCCCAGCAACCATTCAGAGGAGACAGAGCACACCGATCGAACCTTCGCCACCGGCCTCTGCCGGTGGGCTCAGGCACAGGACTGTCAGTACACCTTCCTTCTCCAACTTCTACCCGTACAGGTTTGTCGTCTTCGACTCTTTTTAAGAATTGAGTTGCCATGATGTTGAAATCAGCATGTGTTTGGAGTACTCTAGATGAATCCATTGACCATCTCGGTGCTGTCATTGGTTAATGTGCATTGGCCCCCGCCAATGGTGATAAGCATTGTTGTAACTCGTGTATGAAGCCCACTGTTCTGTGATACAGTCTCTCCGAGCAAAACCCAAGGGCTTTCTGCCATTGAAGGAGACCTGTTGGGGAATGTTTAGTGAATAATTGCAAGATTTGTCAATCATTTGACCTTGTTGTGGGTTTTTTTTTGGGGGGGGTAATTCAGACGCAGGTTCAACCACTTCATTTGAATAAATGCCATCAAGCATTTGTTTTGTTATCATAGGTTATTTGGCCACATGCTTTGTTCATTCATAAACAAAATTCATAGTAATTTCATACAAAGACACTTCATGTACCTGCCATTTTCACAGTAATGATGGTATTGAAATGTAGCATCCACCGAGCTAAAACATATGAAGTGCTTTTGATCATGAATCAGTGACGCATAGTGATACTTTTGGTTCTCCTTGCTCAGTTATGGGAACTATCCAATGCAATATGTGCAGAGAGCCAACCAACAAGGGTACATGGCGGCTAACCAACAACAGCAGGCCATGTGGATGCAACACATGTATGCACAGCAGATGGCTCAGTACCTGCAGTAGTGAGTACAGATTTAGACACATACATGAAGTATGGACAAGTACAGTTATAACTTAACTCCATCCTGCCGCATAACTTGGTGTAGGGTCCTGTCTTTTTTTAAAGGTCAGCTAAGCTTTAGACCCAACACTCCTATCACCTCTGGGACAGTTAGTTGAACGCATTTATGTAATACATTGGCAAGTGATAACAGAACAACAGTAGAAATGTTGGTACCACAATCTAACTCGACCATGCTGTCTTCAAGGTAGTTTGCCATTCATTCTCCTGCCGCAATTTACATTGAAAGTTTGCGTTACATTTACCTGTGTGTGGTGCAATTCTGTGAAATAAAGTGCCTCGCTGTGAACATAACAAGTTGTTATCTGCTAGTATTCAGATTTGTGAATGCCAACTGATCAAATAGAGTGTACTTAATGCTGTGTGGTTTTATACATGTTCTTGGTGTTCTTATCATGACAAAATTCCTGGAAAAATGTCTTTTGAAGACTTGAGTTTTCTAACAAGGAGAGAAATAATAAGGAGAAAAATACTGAAAGTAATCAAGTACATGTATGTCATCATCTTGCAGCTCTAATCAGTTCCAAGCAGGCGGTGCCGGCCTCAACGCAAACCTGCCAGCAGCCCCCGCCCCTGTGGTGGTACCCCAGCCCCAAGTGCCCGACCAACCGGGGGTCATTAATCCGCCAGTGGTTGCTCCCAACGTTGGAGCGGCAGCAGCGGCGGCGGCGGCAGGACCGGACCAGAACGTGCGCATGAATGCCGGGCTGGGCCCCGCGGTGGATGACGATGACGAGGACAACGTCAACCGGGACTGGCTGGACTGGGTCTACACCTTCTGCCGCTTTGGCGTCATGCTCAGCCTGGTCTACTTCTACTCCTCCCCCAGCCGCTTCCTGATGGTGGTGGGCTTCATGATCTTCATGTACCTGTGAGTTCTAGGCAACAAATGGCTTCACAGATGCTTCGTTAATCTGGCATTTGGTGACTCTGAAGTCTGAAGTAATGATTTTGTGAAGGAATGTCCTTTGCCCCACCTAGGACATAACAGTCATTTTCAGTGGTTCTGAAATTTTGTTCATCTGTGAGTCAAGAATCTGTTGAACCCAAGCTCTCCCGATCAATCACAATTAACCGGGAGTTTTCAGGCTGATTTTTCTAGATTGAGGAAGAGACAGCTCAATAATTGCTATTTGTCACTTAGGTTGGATTCCACTGTAAACTTTGTGGCATCTGTGAAACATTTGGATTGATTGCTGCTTTTTTAGTCTGTAATGTTGTGTTTATTCATGCTTAAATGTCTCCACATCTCTTTGTCCCACCGGGCACTGTTGAAAATGATTGAATCACTGATAAATTTGACAACATTCCAAAGATCGGTATTCAGTTAGGAGTCAAAGATCGTTCTCCTTTTTTGATACAGGTATCAAAAACGTTGGTTCCGGCTGCATCGGGCCCCCATCGCAAGGGAGAGATTGGAGAATAGGAATGAACAACAAGAAGACAGGGAACAAGACAACAGCAATCAGGAACAGGTAGAATTAAGATGCATGCTCTTATTAAACTCACAGTCTCTGGTTCACAATGGAAGGGGGGCTGAAAAGTGTTTCTCCAGTGAAACATCTGACCATGTAAGGCCCCTTAGGGGCTGAGGATTTACAAGGAGTTCTTTTGTCATAGAGAGTAGTATCTATGAAAGATCTTGGGTAAGTTGCCTGCCCTGCAGGAAGAACGATAGGACAGAACAAAGTCATTCAAATCATTAAAAGAGAGAAGTGAGGGTTGCACTGGTAGAGATAATGGGAAAGATATTTATAAGGCATATTTTACCACAGAAATTGAAAATGAAGAAAGATCACCAGCCAGACTATTCGTATCAAAAGTGTAATACGTTACCTATTTTTCTGTATACAACCATAGCAGCAGGATGAGAATTCGGAGCAGGACGCCAGTGGAGAGTCTCAGGAGGAGCAGGAAACAGACTCTGATTCCGCCGAGACAGCTACAGCTCCCTTGGAGCCCCCCCGACCAGGAGTCCTGACTGTCGCCTGGGTCTTCCTGTCCACGTTCTTCACATCACTGTTTCCCCAGGATCCCAACCTGGCCGCGGTGAACTAACAGAACAGCCTCGCCCTCGAGTGTGGCCTCCCAGGATGTCCTTGTGTATTCTCTGCAAGGTCTCGCCAAGGAATTTGAATGAAGGTGCCAGACCAGTCAGGTACCTGCCACATGATTTCTGATGCCATAACTATCTGTGCTGTGACTTCTAGGTTTCAATTTTGGGGGTCCCAGATGCCATTTTCAGTATCAAAATTTGAACACATTGGATAATTGAGTTGTTAATCACTTCCTGCCAGGGAGCCCGGTTTCGGGCACCTTGTGTTTATACGCAGAGCTGGGGTGCCTAGTTTCAGACAAAAGAGCTGGTCAGTATAACAAAAGACTGTACTCTGAACAAAGGACCTGCTGCTGGGAATTGCCATCATTTTCTACTTCCATTTTTCGAAGGTAATCCAGCACTGTTTTGAAACAGTATACCACTGTTTTGGGCATAGCGTGTCCGCGGATTAGCACCCTGGACAAAAGTGCTCCAGGGCCCCATTGATGAGCGATACAGTGCCACTGCTAGCTAATCCAGATGTGTATGAAAAGACGCTACTGGCATTCACCGGAACAAAGGAAATTATACAACACCTCACAATTCTGGGCTCTCTTTTACAGGGCTGCAGGCCTGGGTTGAATACCCGGGCGTCAATGAAGGTTGCCTGTCAGATTAGAGTAGCCACCAGACAGTCGTTCATGTGGGTGAAAACATCCAGTAAATGAACACATGAATTTTTGAAGAATTTTGAAAATGGAAAATCTTGAAAAGGTCCCGCCATCTCATCCCGGTCAAGAGAAATCCCCCCCCCGGCAGGAAGTGGTTAAAAGTAAAATACCGTTCTTCCTTATGACCTACATAAAAATTTTACAAAATCACTGACCTTTGATTAAAAGCAATGGACACTTTAGTTTTTTTTCCTTCATGGTTTTGAAGAGAACAACCGTATATTTTTGGGGAAGGAGGTATATATGAAGATCAAGTTTGCATCCGGTATGTTTATTTTGCCTTGCAGTCCTCTCGTTTTGTGTCCTGTATATAAAAGTCGAATTAAAACGTAGAAAGGTACATGTATAATGCGGGCTGAATAACAGGAGCAAGTTAGTGTGTTAAACCGTTGGAGTGGCCAAGAATGAAATATGTTTACTTGGGTCCCTTGGGTTGTATTGTGTAATTCAACGACCAGAATTAGAAGCCATTTCTGCGGTGGGGCAAGGCTCGTGGACAGGTGGTATGGGCATGTTACATGCACCTTCGCCCAGTAGGGTGATGTGATTTGCCAAATGTAAATGTGCGTGAAGCTGAGGAATGCGCGTTTGAGCACAGTACCACCGCAGTTATTGCGTAGTAGTTGATAAAATACCTTTACCACTCTGTTATTTTAAACACCAGATAAGTACCAAAGTAAATGAATTCTTCCTTTTAAATGAACTTGCACATGCCCTACCATCTTGAGATTATTTAACTTTTGGCAAGATATCAAGCTCGCTCTCAACTTGAAAACTGATGTATGTTTTCTTTTTATTCAAAATGGCAATGCACTGCTAGCCCACTCAGCACCCTCCTCCTCACCCTGAATTTTTTTTTCCACAAAGAGCCCTTTTTCCTAGAATGAACACCACCCCATGCCTCTTCTTACACACCAATGCATTTGTATAATGTGTCACAGACAGTATGGTGTGGTACTAAGCCATGTTCATTTTCCTGCAGGTTTCAATCTCAGAAATCAAGTGCACGTAAGTTAGAACACGCAAAGCAATTTTGCAGCCAACTTAAAGGTAACCAAGTATATTTGAATGTAATGGAACTGTCTTGCAGAGCAAATCACATTTTTGGAATTCAAATTTCAAGTATTTTCAAAATTTCCTTATCCTCTCGGAAATCATCTGAAATCAGTCACCTGTACTGTTCTTTGTGTAACACGAGCGTGCACCATTAGAGAAAATATTAAGAACTTATAGCATTCAATTTGTTAGCAAATTCTTCGCAAAACAAGATACGCTTTTACGTCAGTTTTTCAAGAAAATATCTTTAGCTGAAGTGGGAATTTGTTTCTCTACTCCACTGATGTGGTTTTGCAGTTTCAGTTTTTTAAATTTTTGAAAGCGTGCCAGCTCATAAAACGCTCCCCTCTGGTACCCCACTGGAAGGTGTGGTAAGAATTTGTAGGACTAGGAAATGTTCAGCCCATCATTGTTACCTGATGAATCACTTGATGGCCCTCAAAAGTCCCAGTGCAGAGAGTTTGCCTTTGGAATTGGTTTTTAGAGGATTCAAGGTTAGGATTTAACGGGACCTTGCCGGTTTGTCTTACATTGTTGTAACCCTGGACAATAGAAAGGTTTTTTTTATTGCCATGGGTTGGTATGTGCTTCCAGAAAGTGTCAAAGCGACAAATTGCAATCGTGTTTATATACCTGTGGTAATTTGTACTGCACCATTGTCAGTCCTGATTTTCTATCCATTTTTATCACCAGTAGTGTTCTTTGTATTCATATCATACATATGTAATAACATCTGCTTAGGCCGTAAAAGTGCTGTTTTAAAAGGAAATTCTTTTGAACATTATTTTATTGTTTGGGATGGGAAGGAGATATGGAATCCTCATTAATGTAAGAACGGAGACACTTCTTCCGCATGCATTTCAAGAATTTGTTTTATGCAGAAAAAAGTTTCCTTTTCATTTTTTGTTTGAGAAATGTCTGATGCTTTTCTTCTATCCACCTTATACGTTTTAAAACTACACTTCGTGTTTAGTGATGCTGTTTATGATCACAGATCTATTTTTAGCTTGTCACTGAAGTATAACCATGCGTATGTACCATGTTGACCCCACCACTTCATTCCAGTACCATGGAGGAACACATTTAAGGACCTTTAGACCACATTGTTCCCAAAACTCAGAGGCCAGACAACACTTCTATTGAAGCAGCATTTCAACACAGATTAGTTGGCAGTGTTTGTTTATTAGGGAAGCATTTTCACCGTACTAGACTGAGATAGAATGGAGCTTTTGGCTAATATACCAGGCAGAATGTGGGACGGAGGGTACCCCCCTTACCTGTCCAATCCCTATACACACTCCAGACTATTGTTACCTAACACATCCCCCTAGAAGTCTGTAAAGAATTCCTGAGATTCCGATCAAACAATGACCAACACAAAGGTGGGGGGGGTTCTCTCCGTCCCATATCTTGTTTCAAATGTTGGCCAAGGCTCGTGGTACCTGTAGCACAGCTTTGTAAACCCTCGGACCCGCCCCCCAGAAATCACAATTCAAAAAGTTGCTCCACACGGGTTTAAAGAGTTTTTGGTGGTGGGTAGTGATTCGCCAAAGTTTTGTTTTTCTCATCAAATTCAAGCGAAATGGCACTTTTCTATAAATAGTTGTAAATACCACATACTGCATATCGAATGTAATTCTGTATATTTATAAATGTACAAACATAATGTACAAACAATGTGAACTATACATGAAACTGAGATACATCTCTTGCTTGATATTAAAAAAAATGGAATAAAACTGATGTGGGATGCCGTGTGTTTGTAACATGAGTTGTGTACATTATTAGATATTTAGTTTTAATCAAAATGCCTCTTTAAAGAGCAACTTTAAGGAAAAGATGTTTTCTCTGAATTTATCTGTTCAAATAAATAGGGAAGTATGGCATGAACAGGAAAAAAAGCCCTTTTTAGCTTGGTACTGTTGAGCTCTGAAAACGAACGACTTGGGATGTTTCCAATTTATTTGAACAGATAAAAATCAGAGAAAGCATGTTTTCCTTAGAGTGGACTCTTTAAGTTGCTGTTGTCGTTGTCACAACCCTGATAGGCATTCCAAAAGTCATTCTGTATCAAGGGAGGGTAGGAATTACTAGAGGCAACCATCTTTTTATTGTTTTTCTAAGGCGCAGTATGCAAAGCATCCGAATCGCCATATTTCTGAATGGACATTAAGCATGTCATTATGTTCTTGTGGAAATCTAGCCAAAGCCAAGGACAAACTGACTTTTACATTTCTAAATCCTCCAATTTCAATGATGCTTTCATTAACGCAGATTGAGCTTGAAGTAAAATGTTTAGTTTACAGCCAAGGGGGGGGGGCTTTAAGCATATTATTTATTCGACCTTTCCACAACAAAGTATAACAAGAAAGTATCACAAAGTATCAAAGAAAAACATAACCAGTTCAAAGCTAGCCTGGGTTGCTTTAGTGTACTTGTTTACACTATGACAACAGCCAGCTATATAATCCAAACTTGACTTGAAGTATTAATATTCAAAATAAAATTTCAACACTGGAAATGAAATAAAACACAAAATAACAACGGTACCAGGCAGTTTCAAAAATCACAGTTAAGAGCAAAATAAAACACATTGATGATTTGAATCTATATATGTATATGTTTTTGCTCATTTTGTAGGTGTACTGCCTTTTAGAAAGGAGTAAGTACTCGCCCGTGTAATTTTTCCCTAGGAACGTTAGGGGTAGTTATATACGGGTGTGATTAACGTCAAGCTTGATCGGGTGGACACCTAGAAACTTAAGTACTAAGGTTAATAACGGGTTTTTTTTCTTCCATTATAAAAACATCCTACCATGGAGGTAGAATCATACCGACGAATTCCCCACCAAGAAAAAAATTGCAATGTAGACTCGAATCTTCGGCTTGATTCTAAGGATAACGCCCTTTTATTTTAAGCTACCATGGAAGTCGGACAGGACAATTGTCTTATATATACCCCATTTATGATAATTGCCCCAACCTTCCTTGATGGGAAATGCATGTGCGACGGTTAAGATACGCCCATTTTATTATAATTCCTCCTAACCTTCTTAGGAAAAAATTACGCGCCCCTGAGCCAGTCCACCACCCACGCATTCCAGGATGCAGGCCAGTAAATAGGCCGAAAAAAGCTTGCACGGGCTAAATCACAATTTGTAATGCGCTCAAATTCTCTACGAAATAGAGCATTTTGTGGCCGATGAAGATTTGTAGAAAAGACAGGTTTAGGCGGGTAAATAGAATGTCAGCTTGTGTCTGAGCATGGAGATGGAATTTATCAGAAGAAATCGGTGTCCAGTGCAAAAACGGTCCGATTTTTGTAGGCATCGATATTTCAAAATGTCGAGCCGAGAGGCTTCAAGACTTCATTTTAGGGGTGACCATCCGTGGAAATAAATATCTTCAGAAGTCATCGGTTGATGAATGGAAATTTGAAAAGAAAATGAAAAACCATAAACCGGGCTTTAATTTGAAGTGCGTCTCAAAGGCCTGAGAAACGCGTGGGTATTTTTCCTGATTTGTTGAAGTTCGGGTATTTTATGGCAGTTTATACTGGCCTACTTAGGCACCTGCCACCTACTATGGATGTTATATGCCGCCCTCTGTTGCTTGCATTGTTCCAACTTCCTATTCGACGGCTCCTTGACTGCTCAAACGATTTGATAACGAACATTTTAGGGGAACCAAGCTATATTAACTGGTCTCCATCTCAATGTAGTGCATTAGCAATGACGTTCACCACTGATACTATTGTAGACTCAGTCATTTGCTATTTTTACACTGCACAGTCACTGACTTAAGGTCTATGATTTAATCGAGAGTTGATGTTGAAATTGTACTTTTAAAAATTAAGAAAAATACACATTATAACTCCCCGGTGTGAGCAGGAATTTATTTTCTAACCATGTCGTTCCTTTTTGGAAAGAAGAAGCAACCTCAAAAGGCCCCGTCAACTGGCGACGCAATCCAGAAACTGAGACAAACAGAAGAATTGCTGGAAAAGAAACAAGCGTTTTTGGAAACGAAAATCAAGCAAGAACTTCAAGTAGCAAAACAAAATGGTACAAGAAATAAAAGGGGTAAGTTATGCAAATCTATGCCAAATTTCAATCAACTAGTATCCTGACAGTACTGTCAGTGTCACGACTGTACATGCAACCATGGAGGTAGAATCACATGGAGGCAGAATCACATTCTACCTACATGATGCAACTGACAACATTTCCAGTCTACGTAGACATGCTAGATTGGGAGCAGGGCGGATGGATGTCAGACTACCCTATCACCAGAACTGTGGGGTCCCACGTCGGCACGGGTACCGGTCAACTCAGTCCGTAACCAACTCAGTCCCAAGTCAACTCGGTCCCAGGTCAAGTCGGTTCCATGTCAACTCAGTCCCAAGTCTAGTCACCTCGGTCCCAAGTCAACAGAGATTGTTAATAATTTCATTGGGCGGTATCATGAGGTCGGGTCACTTCGCCCACAACTGCACAAGTCTGACAAGATGCCAAAAATCTAACCATACAATTCCTACATTGGGCATTTAAGGCAGAAACAAATCGAAGCTTAAATATAAGCCAATAAAGTCAACAGAGAAGAAATGTCTTGGAATGGGAGAGTGCCATTATTTGTCAAACAATTTATTTTCTTATTTGTGTGACAGTGTGAATAGAGTCCATGCTGCGTGGGTACATCATTAGTGGAGCAGAGACTGTCGAGCGCCACTCATAGGCCTGATCTAGCACAGCTCCATACGAAACATACAGCATGCCAGCAAATGCAACACTCAATCGACAGCAAAAATATTCTAAGAGGCATACATTTTCAATCTACACTAAGCTTGTGCTTGAAAAGTAGCCTTCTTGGTTGCAATTCCTAAATGGGACCGAGTTGACTTGGGACCGAGTTGACCTTGGACCGAGTTGACCTGGGACCGAGTTTACTTAGGACCGAGTTGACACGGACCGAGTTGGTTACGGACCAAGTTGACCGTAAGCCTTCCGCTCCTCTCCTCTCGTGGGAGGAGCGGACGTCGGACCCCACATTTCTGGGGGTAGATGTCGAACCCCACCTGCTCAGAGTTGTGGGATACCTAGGCCTACTTAGTCCGAGTAACTTGAACCCTACAAATCGCCTTTTTTAACATTTGGTCATGGTCGGGCGATTGTCATGATTGTAGGGTAGGCCTACCTTACATAGGCTTTACTTCCATTAGTTTGTTTCACTCAGTTATTTGGACTAGGTACATGTACTAGAATGGGTTATTCTATAATCGCGTTAGTTATCACATTTGTGAGTTATTCTCTGAGTCTTCTCAGAATGACACATACTCAAGAAAGAGATTGATCCATGGTGCAACCACAATCGTTTTACTTATATCGTTATCACATATGCAGATCAAAAACAAGATTTCTCGTTCACCTTCCTGAATTCTCCTGTCCTTGCTGTTGTTTAACTCTTACTTTTTAACTTGATTCATGAAATTTTGTTTGTGGTTCACTTTATTTTCTTCTACGATAGCTCTGAAAATCTGTGTGGTCACCATATGCAAGCGGGGTTGGAGTCTCTGTTATCGCGGTATCGAGAATATGATGGTCTTTAAAGCATTTTGCTAACGAATAAGTAAAGATAAAAAGAATTATTTTGTTTAAGAGGAAACAAAACAACCTCATTCTGTGATAATGCCACAATTTGCTTGTAATTGACCCCATTTTCTTAGTCTTCTCCTTAAAGACGCCAAACGCAAGAGAATGAGATAGGAACCATTGCACTGTGCCACTTATTAATACGGAAATCAGTGACTTCATTTTTTTCACCAGAACTTGTTTACTCCAATCTTAAGTGTTTATTTTCTCCAATCTTAAATATAGAAACAACTTTGACATTCATCTTATTACTTAAATTGGTGTTTTGCCGAAGGAATAATGCGGGTATTGCAAATTTCATTTTTTGGTGGACTCTTTTTATTATCGATGTCTGAAACAATTGTTCAAAATGTCTTCTTTCTGAGTTCTTATTCTCCGATAGTTATAACCATCACATTAGCCCTAACTCCCTACGATGTGTGCAAAATCATATTAAAATTGAAGGATTCAGGGCTGTTAGGGTTAGGCCTAAACTATGTTATTCAAGATTTATGTTACAAATTCTAAATATCAGTTACAAATTCTTTAAACTGTATTAGAAAAGCAAAAAAATTGTGACAATAATACTGACGTAATTATTCGCTAATTGCCGCGGGCGCGGAGGGTAAAAGTACAATTGATGCAAGTCTGTTGTATTGGAGATTGGGGGGCGCGCTTTCCGCATGCGATGTTTTCAGCGCAGAAGCCCTTATTTTGAACCTGAAAAATTGCAGTTAAGATGTGTCTTTTGACGCCTTTAGCCACTTTGAAATTGATAACAACCCAGCAATGGATATCCAAGGGCAGGGTGGCATTAGAAGTAATCATTAAATAGATAGATGGTAGGTAATGACGGACACGGTCGAGGAGAATGTGCAAATTTCGGAAAAGTTATATCGTTTATTAAAAATTATCAAAACGTACGGAAACACGTAGAATTTTTCTCTTTGTTTTAATAAAACTTTTCCTCAAGCCATAAATTATTGATTACCTGGGCAAATATTGGGAACTCTTTGGCAATGCAAAATTTAAAATTTCCAATACAGCGATAATGGAGTTACCACAATAATATAGGAACCGAGTATACCTACCTTGAACATTACCTTCCTCTCAATTGTGCTCCACCATGTTCTCATAAACAGGGCCTTTGTGTACTTGTAAAACCAGGCGGTTTTCCTATTTCCTATATCTCAAGTCTAACGAACATGACGTAAGAGGACAGAAACGAGAGGAAGGGCCCTGTTTCCGGTCTAGATATGATTCGGACGCAGTATCAGCATTGACAATGTCACTCTGTTAGCCCCAGACCAAGGCAGGACAGTCTATTTCTCTGCATGCCACAGGTGTTTTCCTTCTCCAAAGCGATACCATTTAAATGATGGTATGAACAGTTTCAATATTCGAAAATTATTTTCAGTTTTGGTATGAAAAATTTGAGTTAAGTGCAAATCGAGTAGTACTAGAAGTAGTGTTTCACGTTCCCGACCATACATGTGAAAGGTCAGGAACAGAAAACTTGAGGAGGCCATTCACCCATTTAAGATTCATTCAAGGCACAGTGCTTAATTCACTTTTCTCTACATTTCAATATTTATCTTCAAGTCATCTGTCTATCTATCTGTTCACTGCCCAGTTTCCCCAAGTTTTTCTTGTCCTGTTCATTTATGGAAGGGGTTTGATAGTAGAATCTTGTGTAGGATCATTCAGAACACCATCGATGATTGGCCAAGTGAAGCAGCAGCGTGTACACCTGTGCACCATACCCGTTCACGCTTTCAATCATTTGTGTGCTGCAGCGGCCATAATGGCCTTGAAGAGGAAGAAGAGATTAGAGAAGCAGCTTGATCAGATCGACGGCACGCTGTCCACAATAGAATACCAAAGAGAGGCACTGGAGAATGCCAACACGAGCACCGAGGTCATCAATACCATGGGATTTGCAGCAAAAGCCCTCAAAGCTGCACAGCAAAACATGTGAGTTCATCGCTTGGCAAGGATGGCTTTGTTTCCGTTCCAACTATGGTAATTGTCCCAACTGTAGTTGGGATAGTCCCAACTGCGATGGCCTAGTTGGGAAATCCCAACTGAGTATCTCTGCTAAAAGAACATTTTTTAGACAGGGCGATTGGTTGAATGGAAGAATTACATGCTTGAAGCAGTCCCCCATCTTGTATTTCTGTGAAATTTTGGGGAATGACATTAATTTTTTAATAGAATTTTGCAGGAAAATTAGGAGTTTACCTGCTAGAAACTGAACAGAATATGAAAGATGAGTAACTAAAGTTGACTTGTTTCAGAAACACCTTGAAGACTTGTGACATTTGAGGTATTTTTCTCAACTGCTGTATTAGCATTATTGCCTTGCCTCTAGTCAGGACGGGGGGGGTCTGCCCAAACATAGTGACAAGTTCAATCAGCCACAATGTCTCAAAGCTGGTGAATTTAGCCTAGTGTCCAGCATGTATTTCATGCATATGTTGACAATTTGTATCTGGTGGAACCTGACCCAGACCGTGTCCACATTGCTAGGCTGCAAGTTGAAATTACTCTCAACTCTATGGGAAATGGCCGTACCACAACTTGTGAGTAATTTTAAACCACAGCCAAGTAATTCGGGTGCAGCCAACTGTTGCCATAGTTGGGTTGTAAGAGCTACATCCATAAGCCAAGAGCTCACATTTCCTGAAGCTCCTCAACAGAGAATGCTTCCTGAAGCAATTTCCTTCTATGGAGACAAAAGGGACGAAATAATCTTCTGAGAATCAGTCACATGCACCGAACACCATGTGAAATTGTGTCGCAATAGTATTAAACCTGCCATTCTTAATGTCTTCTTTCGCTGTGCCAACTGCGTTATTGAGAAATTTGGAGTCTGCAAAGATCAGGTAGCCATGTGTTACCATGGTAACGTTACCATGGTAACAGACTGATGCCTTTGCAGTCTCCCTTTTTGGGATATACTGTGGAGTAAAACTCACTGAAGTTGGCAAATGAAAAGTCGTCGTATATGAAATATATTGTAAAGATGGGCCGTGCTGTCGGTTTATGTTGGTCGTTTTCCGACATCACTGCCTTCGCAACAGTGCCCAACATCACAATTTTTTGTAAAAAACAAAATTTGAAACCCAACATAACATTTGCATGGAATTGCCTATAAATATGGTGTGTGTGGACGTCATGGAAATCCTACAACACTCAGCAAAATCCAACATTTGTTTCTCTGTTTACCTTTGATTTGGAAGTTTGGGTGTTGCCATATCAAAACTTCAGCGATGATCCAAACCTGACACTCTTGAAGATGTTACAAAAAGTGATCAAGAAAGGGTCTTTACTTCTGCTATTAGCCGACTCAGTGTTCCGTCTTGATTCTTTGTGTTATGCAGGGGAGTGGAGGACGTGGACGACTTGATGTCAGACATCCAGGAGCAGATGGAAGTAGCCAACGAAATCACCGATGCTATCTCCAACCAGATGGGTTTCGGACAAGACGTTGACGAGGTAAGCCCACAAGGGTTCGTGAGCCCAGAGCATATCGGACAGAACAGTCCTCATAAACTTTAGAAAGATCTCAGGTGTGTTGGGAATAGAGATTCAGGTTTCAGGGGGACTGTGTTAACCCATCCTTGACTAGTTTCAACCCTGGCCTCTAACAGCCCTCCCTCTGCCCTTAGAGAAAGATTTGTACGGTTTTTAATGTGATAAAAGAGACTTTTACTTGTGAAGTTTGTAGTTTCCTTAATTTTTCAACATTTTCAAATGGTGTTGCCCCTGAAAGTCATTTTCCTTCAGAAATACCATCCTTCAACTTCTTTATGTTTTCTTTTATGTAAAATTTATGTCTGTAAACGTAAGATAGTTAAATCTTTTTTATTCTTCCCCCAATGTTGAGTAGGGTTGAGTCAATTCAAATAATTCACTATTCGGATATTTGACTTTCAGTTCAGTCGAATATATGAATATATATTCGGTCTTACCACCAGCAGATTGTTGATGAACAAACCATATACAAAATCAGTAGCAATAACGCACACAATTGTACATTGTAATCACTGTAATAGCTTCTCACATCTACGAGTTACTCCAGCCCCGATTTAGCAAGATTTAAGACATGAATAATACTTCTTGCCCTGTTGAAAATTTCTATTCCTTTTTTGTTTAATGAATAATTTACATTTTGAATCATAAGATTTCTGTCACTTTTCATTTGCATCTACTTGAAACAAGCCTTCATAGTGCAATTTTTCTCATTCAAAACGAAAGGAAGTTCTCCCTTCCTTGCCATGAATCTTGCATTCGAATAATATTTGAATATTCAATAACCGGTCAAATATTCAGACACTCGGCACAGCCCTAATGTAGGGTCTACTTTATATCCGGAACATCATTGCAATTTACGTATGCTTTGTGTGGTCACTGTGAGAACAACAAAGCAATGGCTGTAGTGGGTGACTTGTTAAAATGTAATCAATTTAAGGTTTTATTACTATAGTAGCAAATTCATTTTGAAGGAGGCAACAGAAATGGAGTGGTGTTGCAGCTCAGAGATCACCTTCCACTGTCGGTGGATATAAATGTTCACCCTGTCCCATAAGAAAAGAGAGAACTTACGCCTCATGCTACAAGGTTTCCCTATTTAGCCTGCACTCCCAAGTCCTTCCAAATCTACCAGGAGGGTTTGGAAGATTCTACAGAACTGTTTACTGTTCCCGTCTCCCTCAGTCGGCCTCTGTGACTTGAAATGGAGGTTGCTTACTCCTGACTGAAATATCAAAATTGTGCTGTTGGTTTGCTGTATGATGTAAGATTTTGAGAGGATTCAGGACGACTCCCGTGCAAAAATGCCCAGTGTTCCTTTAAGAGACACAGATATGGTTGAGTGGTACATCCCTCACCTTCCATCTCTCGGAACCGGGTTCGAATCCAGCCATGGGCCAGCATGTGGTTAGGTTTTCAGGCCTACCTGATTCCGCGGATGTCCCAGAAATATGTGTATGAACGTGGGGGTTTTTCTTCCACCTAAAAAACTAAGCATCTCTTTATTTTCTAATCCCCCAGGTTTCTCAAGATCATCGGGTTTATAAAGCCCAGGGTACTTCTGAAGAATCCTTGGTTTCATTACCAGGAATGATATTGACTTTTTTTCTGACTTTGTTTACAGGATGAACTGTTCAAGGAGTTGGAGGAATTAGAGCAAGAGGAGCTGGACGAACAGCTTCTGAGTGTTGGGCCCAGCGTTGCCCCCCAACTGCCCGACGTGCCAACAGAAAGACCCGGTCAGTATTCCCTTCGGCCAGGGGATCTTGCTAAATCTTGGCATTGTCTCGAATTTCAGCTTAGGTTTCGTGACTTCTTGTCCCCCAAGTTTAGATCTTTGGTGCTAATGCGGCTCCATTGTGCACTGTAGACACATGAAATTGTTTATTTATGGCCAAAAAGTTTCATTTGAAAGAACATGGAAGATGCGTCAGTCAACCTTCCTAACACAGCCAAACGCCTCAAATGGTGAAAGTCACTTGAGCTGTACTCGTATACCATATTTCTCACTGCACCGTCGTAATTTGCAATGTGCCAATGCCCCACCGTGCAGTGATTTTTGTTAAAACAGGCCAGTAGGAATTGCCTAACTGCAACCTGAATGATGATGATAAAGCGTCAGTTCAGAGTGTCAAAGGAAGGTGGTTCCAAGTGAAATTGTTCTCTAGAAATGCGGGATCCAATTTACAACAGGGGTCAGGTAACACAAAGGATTCAGAAAGGTTTTGTGGTAAGACAGCCATGAACGAAAATGAAACAAAAGTGATCTGTAATAATCAAAATAACCGATTTTTATATACTGATTACAAGACTTTATAGCCTGGCCATTGTTACTTAACTTGGACTTAATACAAGGCGTTGGCGAGGGAATGTGCCATTGGTTTATTGTGTAACGTTAGATGTCAGCTGCCTTGCCAAGAAAGATTGAGAATGGCACAGGTGCCAAATGGCAAATGTTAAGCAATTCTGGCTCTGGCTGTAATCCTGTGCAGTTGATGAGAAAAACTATTGTTAAAAAAATACATCTTGAAATAGCCGCTGCTACACCTGACTCGGACCGGCTAGCCGACCCCGGCAAGCTCGGTGGTCGAGTGGTTAAGACATCTGCACTAGTAAGCAGGAGGTCGTAGGTTCAAGTCCCACCCGAGTAAGCTTATGACTTTTTCGCAAGCTCTCGGACAAGCACTGAGCATACACTGTTTATTAATATATACGTTGGGTAAGGGCAAAACCCATTATATAATTTAACATCTCCCAACACAAAATACATCTTGAAATACATCTTGAAAACTATTGTACTAAGCAATTTATAGAAAGATGCCTGCAAAAATGTTCACATAGCTACAACTGGGTTATTGTTGAAAATTGTACAAGCTGGAAGCATTGTTCATCGCGAGTTGTTTTTGGTTTTTTTTCTTTCATTCCAGCCAAAGTTGCAGACCAAGAGGATGAGGATATGAGAGAGCTGGCAGCCTGGGCCTCCTAACTTGCATAACCCTGGAAGATTGTGCCATTCAGAAGAACGGTCAATTAGTGCTATTGTTATACTCAATTCTATTCCTCTTAAACGGTACTTTCATGTCAGATTCTCAAGAGAGTGATCTGTTTATTAAGACAACTTGAGCAACTTTGTCCCGTTGGAAAGCTAGTCCTAGCTTGTCACCCGACAACTTGTAAATAGCCTTAGAAATCACTTTTATGCTTTTTTGCAGTCTCGGTTTGTTAATTGAAAATTAACCGGTGTGTAAGTTCTTTTTATGATTTTGCTGCTCGTGACTTTGTACCTATTTATGTCTCATTTTCTCATAAGTGGGATCGAAGCCAGTGGGGTGTAAAGTCACTTTACAAATGGCACATTCTCACCATGTTACGAAGTACAGAAGGGGGAACCTAGGTTGCCCCCTTCCCCCCGTCAGTCGCTTGTTTACACCAGTGGACTAATTTTCATAGAATGACTGTGTCCTTATTCATGCAAATAATCAAGACGTTAGAGCGAGCACAATGCGAGAAGAAAAAAAGTTGTATATACAAAAGCAACCATTGCTATCAATTACTGACGTCTTGAGCCAAGACTAACATACTTGCGGTTAAATCAGTACAAGTAGTTGTGAATTAGCTCCTGACTTCTTCTTTTTTTTACTGCCCTCGTTGGTTTCCCACCATCAGGGGAACGATTCTTTGTGTGTGGCCCATCCCTAATTCAGAAAAACAAAATGGAGAATTTTTCCCCATGTACACCCTTTTCAATAAGTGTTTGTTTTACAAATCCATGAAACCACTGTCATGTATGCTTTTAACCATTGCTGTTTTGAGTTATAATTGGCGGTTAGTCTTTCAAAACCTAGCATGGCATTTTCGAAACATTTGAACAAAATGAAAGAAGCTTCCAAAATACATGTACTGTACTTTACTGGTTTATTTGCCATCAGAAGAAATTTGTTTGAGATATCTCTCTTCAGTGGAAGATACGAAACCTAAAATCACTACAACAAAACAGTGGCTCATCAGAAGACTGACTTACATATTAGTTGATTAAAAATGTAAACTAATGATTAAAATATGTACATGTATTTATCAATAGAAAAATTTAGAATAGTCCCAAGTGATCTTTAAAATGCAGTTAAAATGCAGATAGAATACACACAAAATTATGAAATCGACCTGATTTTTGTGTAAATAAAATTAATTATAAATGGTAAAGTTACCAGTGTCTGTATAGTTTTCTCCTTGAGTGGCTTTAAAAAACCTACACGAGGAAAAAGTTTCCGTTACAGTTTTACATACAAGTGTAATGTTCTCCTCGATAGGAATGAAATGTGTACTATGCTACGTAAGTGTAAAATGTCATTAACACTGACAAAACATCAACAGAAATGAAAGTTGACGTGATCACCACTGTACATGGCATTTAAATGCATGCTTCAAACATTTAACAAATTGACTTGATTGGGGAGTATTCTTTCTGTGTACATACCCTCTCCCCTGAGGGGAACATTGCCTTTTACCTGAGAGTGATAAATCTTACCTGCAGGGCTTTGCGAAACACTTGACCATTGATACATTTGACAACTAGTGTACCATTTGGAACCGGTAACCTTGAAACTTCAGACAGGACATTGAAATATTCAAAACCATTCTTGGAAATGGATGTTTGACCTGCGATGGAAGGATAGTCTCTTGCACAAATACCATTTTAACCCTAGCTGTGCCATTGGGCAGGTAACCATTACAGATGCATGTGTGTACGAAATGTCTGGTTTACAAACATGCTGCTAAAGGTACACCTGTCAGTTGTGCTTGTTTATCTTAGGCAACAAAAGTACTCAAAATGACCACTGCTTGGTTTGTGGAAAATTAGAATTATGAATGTACCAGTAAATATACATGTAAATTCAAAGAAACTACGCCCATGTTAACACAGCAATTAACACAGAAAATTTTAAAAATTACAGTCAATTCGGAAATTTTAGTTAAGGTACTTTAAAAATTTTTTAAAATTCTGAGATGAGACTTTAAAGAGGGATTAAAAATACAGTTTTAAATTGTTAAAAAACCTGACTGTTGAAAGTATGTACATTTTTTGTACAGTACATGTAGTGAGTACGTGCATACACAATGATACACCTTCATTTCTGTACATACGCTGGCTGTAAAGGCATACTGCGTTATTTTGGTTGAACATTTCACTTTCAGCCAGTAATTTATGCTGTGTTTGCCCTTGTGGTCAAGAGATTTAATAATCAGTCAAGCAGACAAGCTTTCTTTTTCAAATCTGATTTCACCTAGATGCTGTGAGATGCGGTCAAATAATTTGCCAGTGTGTCATACGTCATGTGCGTGTACGGTACATTCTTATAAGAAAAACAAAATGTCCAAGTCAGATTCGAAAATGTATGAAATCTGTAGCATTAAAGGAACCAGGAAATAGAAATATTTTCATAAATTTTACTACAAACCCTTGAAATTGGATTTTTGGGTTTCAATTAACCTTATTTTAAAATTTGTTTTGCAATTTTAACCCATATCTTGATGCTTTTTTTGGTTTATGCTAATGCTGTTTGCATATTCATGAAAAGAACTATGATGCCATCCAAGGCACTGAATTTCAATGTTGAACTGATTTGTGCACAGAAAATTTCTAGATTTCTTTAACCACTGCTATGGCAGATTTCATTTTCTTTGGCAATTTATTGCTGTGTGAGTATATGGCAATAATCCAGTAAAAATCCTTTCACAGAAATGTTCCCAGATAGCAAATTTTGGGTTTGCAATTTGAACATGAAAACATGCAACCTGAACCATGTCTTCCTGGATTTACATCACAGCAAAAGCGCCCTCACTTGTTCAGAAATGCTTGGTCAATCTAATGTTTGAAAAAGTGCACCGTTCAGTTCACGTAACTCAAAGAAGATGTCAAACAGTCTTCAAACATGGAAAACAAAGATACACAAAAAGTGATTCTAAGAAAAATTCATTTCCTGGATCCTTTAAAATCTTGGCTCCAACAGATTAGCTTTCTGGTTTAATTGAGCAACAACAGAACAACATCTTGTCACTCCGCATTCTTTCCCCCTTATAAAAAAATTGTAGCAAAGTAATTATTTGACTACAGCAGTTTAAATGAGCCTTTGTTTTTCACTAACTCTACTTCCAATGTTTTGTTTTCTATTTTACAGGACATTTTGGCACTTTTGGGGTTGTATGCTGGGAAAATTTCCATATTTGTTTCTTGTCAAGCAACCGTTTTTTCCCCAACATTTCAGCTGACCACCCTTTCACTTTAAAATGCAAATGCGTTCGCTGCCAAAGTGAAATGTGATTTTTTTTTTCATTCAACCTGTTTTGTTTCCATGTATAACTGCAGAGAAAGAGTACAAATTAATTACAGACTTGAAACCATTTTTACGAAGTGGGCACTCTCAGGTCATTGATAAATCTGCCTCAGAGAAATCTCTCTTAGATCACTATTTTTGTTGATGCATAATCAATGCAGCGTATTTTGTTGACAGAAGTAAAAAAACAATGCGAGGCATAAAACAAGGAAACTCTTGAAACCCCATAATGGAGACCCTGTGTAAGTTGTGAGACCCACCACTGTGGTTTATCATTTCTCCATAAACGGCTGTATGACCCACAATTTTGAAACTCGAGGAGACTGGTGGACAGATTACACACTCTGAGCCCTCCCACTGCATTATCAACAAGGCCTAGTGAGAGGCAATGTCTTGACTGTATTGTCGTTTTGAAGAGGCTGAGATTTCTAAAGCTCTCAGCCCTCGGGGAGAACCCCCCCTTCTGATTTCTCCCTTCACTGTAAAGGAGTCTTTTTGTAGAATGATCAATCTAAATTGATGAATCTAGCATTCTCGGTCTATTTACACTATTCTGTAAAAGTATCTCTATAAAGTGAATTGTCGTAAGTGGTACTCGGTAAAAACAAATTAAACATACCTACGAGAAATAACTCCGTCATAGATTTTGAAGATGAAGCTTCTCCTCTAGCAGTGTGAATTGTTCTACCATATCGTCAAGGGGTTTAGTCGCGTCAAGAACCTTTGTGATAGGCGAGAACAGTTGAACAATTGAAGAAAACCTGTTCCACTCAAGTTATGAAATTGTAGGAACAAGAAGACCATGAAAAAGGCATAAGGTGGAGAAATAGATCAAAGTGAAACTGTAGGACATTGACGGAATATGATGGAAAGTGAATACGTGTACATGTCTGCAGAGGGTTGTGTCAAGTCCTGCTTCCAAAATTTTGGACTTCCCAGTTTTCAGGGGGCAAAAATCTTCAACTGCAAATTTCAAACCAGAACATACTCTGCAACCCCCCCATCTAGGAGTAATGAAGGTGAAACTTGCGGAAGAAAAAGGATTCATCAGTTAATGTGAGCTTAATCCATGCTTAATGGTAACCAAAAAATGACGCAAAACACCAAATGTCGTAGTGAAATTCTGTGAAAGCAGCGAGTGTGAACTTACTAATACTGGCGCTGGGAGTTCAAACTTCGTCCTCCTGAAGAGCCAGTCTTCATGCATCTGGTGCAGTTCTCTGAGATAGTCTAGAGGTATCCCAGACTCCTCTTTACGGCTGCGTGCAATAATACGCTTCTCACACTGCTCAGGGGTGCTGCGAAGGTACACTTGATAAACAAAAGTAAATAAATGGTGCAAGTTTACAAAGTGAGCAATGAAAAAAAGAGAGATTTATTTGCTTACATGCGTATTAAGCAATTTATATGTAATTGGTGGCTTTTATTCACCATGTCAATAGCGTAACCCTTCAGAATCTACCAGGTTTTTGAAGGAAATGAAGGATTTAGGAAGGCAGTATTTAGCCTATCCCAAAAATGATTAATGACAAACCAAGAGAGAAGTCTTTTGAGAGAATTTTGGAAGTTTTCTAAAAATCCTTGATAACAATAGTATTCTTGTTAATATGAGCATGATGAAAGTTTGCAGGAAGGATATTTTTGCAATTATACAAGTGACGTTTCAGTTGTTATGTTTTATCTAACTCAACGAAAAACTTTATGTTCCAAGACCAAAAATCCTTATCCATAGAACCAGCCAAACACGAGGCTAGAAAAACCTGTGGAAACAGGCAGGACTGACGACGCTATTATCAAGAGATAAGGCCAAGTGTCACTGCTGTGCTAACCTATATGGTCAATATGCAAATCCTTTGTGGTCTGCAGCCAATCAAACCACTCGCTCAGCACGTTGTACTCGGGCCTCTGCAGCCTTCGGGTCTGATACAGGTTCTCGATGAAGCAGTACTTGCAGCTGTGCAAGGACCGCTCCATCATCTTGACTCGCCGGCTGGTCGGAGCCTGGTGCACCTGCAGCATGGTGAACTGGACGTAAGACTGGAATGCAAAGCTCCAACGGCTGGGGTCCTGGTACAGCAGGTCCAGCATGTTGGTGCCGCGGACATCCTGCCATTTGCGGACGGGCTCCGGAAAGACCTCAATCCCTTTCTTCTGGTCAAAATACTTGAGCAGTGTTGATTTTCCACTGCCAATGTTGCCCTCAATAACAATCTGTTAAATGGTAAGTTTTCAAAAGAAAAATATCGAGGACAAAGATAAATGAGTGGAATCTGGCTGAACAAAATACGGAGCCTATTGCAACTATAAGTTTACTCCCACTGCCTGAGTATGTTAGAAAATGATAACAGATCTTTTTTTTCTTTTTTTAAAAATATGTCTGAAAGAGATTTTTATATCTCAGCCACTACTTACATGATTTATCTTCCTGGACTTCAAAACTACAAAAAGTGTCAATCTTCTGAAGAAAAATACTAATCTAAGAGGGAAAAGATTCAATTTTTAAAAAATAACGTTAGACCTAGCTAGGGCCCCTAGGAGTACAATGATATTTTCTGTCATCTCATGGTCCAGCATGAGCTCTAAGATGGTAGTCAGACATGAAGCTCTTTCCAAACATGCTAAATGTGGGATTACTTTCCAGAAAAATGACTGTTCCCTTCAGATGTCGAACTAGTCTACTCTGTTGTCTAGAGACTGTCTAGGTCTTTGCCAGTCGGAAATACACCGGCATGACGGGGACATGCTGGCAGCTATGAACATGATGAACAGACATAGATTGTGACATGATTTATACTCATAGCCATAACTCTGAAATCTGTAAGCCCATTTCAAACATGGCTCGTTGCCTAGATCTCCTGTCTTTCTAAGACAGTGCTACTGCTAGTGACTGCATGCTAGGCCTACTGCTAGATCACTGAAATAGGCCTACTGCAGCCTAGGCCTATCGGCCTGACACTTTGACCAAAAAATAATTTGTTTAATTCAATCAAGTATGCAGTGATGCAGTTCTTAAAACCCAGTTGCATACGTGTACTTACTGTTCTTGGTTTGTCTGTTTTAGGGCCGTAAGTGCTGTTGTTTTCACTGATGACATTGCTAACTGAGGTGATATCGCCCAAAGGTGCTCGGTGTTGAGAACTCACCCTCGAATTAACACGATTTAAATCAAGTCTTTCAAATCTGTTTTGTCGCGTCAAAAGCATATTTGTTATGGGGCTGTGCAATTCTTCCTCGCCAGAGTTTTCCTGATTTTCATTTGACATCTTTGCAAGCGTTTTAGAGACTGATTGAATTACTGAATAAAAAAGATTCAGATGGCTGCAGCTGTGTAGGGCCTCCGAGTCCTTTTGAGGTTAAAAACAGTTCAAAATCTCGCGCCTGAAAAATGCACACAGGAAGTCTTCTCTCCTGACCAAACACCTCATTCTGAGTACGAATTCTTCGGCGCCAGTCTAAGATGTAGCGATACCACTTTATAAGAGTGGGGTGCGAAGTATTTATAGATAGTTTTCTGTATTACTTCAGACAAAAATTAAAAGAGAATAAAATAGTTTAAATTAATTCCTTATGTGTTCAATTTACATTTCTTATTGTACCCAAATATAGACTGAACTACATCTTTGTTGTATTTTTAATGGTAAGTGAAAGCTGCGGCGCCCCTTAAGGTTACATTTGGAATGATCCAAGAAATTAAGCGCGGGGTTTTTCAACAGGACAGATTTCGTGTGTACATCTCGATGATATTTCAATCATAAAAATCTATGTTTATCGGTTTTTATCGACCACTTTATCGGAATTTTTACGCTTCACTATTACATTCAAGGAAATTAACAATCAAAATGCTCGGAGAAAAACAAGGAAATTCCGGAATCCTGTCTCAAAAGCGACCAAATGCACGAGTTGATGCAAAGGAAAACCGGCGCGAAGAAGCGGACATGCTGAATGCTAGTACATGTAGTAGTGATGCTGTCACACCAAATCGCGCTCCGCTGTCGGACATCGGCTCAAAGGCTAATGTCAGTACCACTGCCACAAGCAACATTAGCAACAGTAAAACATCCCATGAGAAGACAAGGACGGTAGGTTTTTGTGTCATTCTTTTCAATTCAAGTATTAACTTATCATTGGATTCTTTCTTGTTTGTCATGTTTCATTGTTTGTGGAATCAGGAGCGTAGCCTAGGCTTATTCAAGTTTGTGTCCTTCCTCCTTGATTCAACAGTGCCGAGGTTGATGTTGAACATGTTGAACTGTAGTGTAGTGGGCTGTACCATCGATCACCCAAATGTATGGTGGCCAGATACAGACTTATGGCCAATCAGTCATGTCAGTTAATGCTGGTAATGGCAACCAAGCCAGTGCTCCTATCTCGCTTCTCAGACAGTCAAGTCAGTCACTCAAACACAATGAATGGATCTTCACATCACAAGTTCTTTTAAGTTGCCTTTCAACCTACTCAATCAACTTATGAATAACAAATCGACCTGGGTCTCATACACATGTAGGTGAACTGCGATAAGCCTTTTTCACGTTTCATGTGCGCAAGCTCAGAAGGCTTATTAACAGAGGGGAACAAATTCTTGACAACAACGTTGCGTAACATTTGGCGACTGGAGGCTCATGATTTCTATTGTTGACATTTTGTTCCCCTCTAGCCAGCTTTTTTTGTTCAATTACTCGTGTGGGGGCGCTAAAATCAACCTGGTGACGCAACAGGAAATTGGCTTATTAAGTGTTCAAGTGAATGATGAGGTCATCCGACTTCATGTCATCACTTACCATGTATTATTGGTTGATTTACCTTTGAATAACATCCATTCATAGGACAATCAACTCGGGAATAAAATGAAATTGTGCAAAGCTAAGATTACACTTAACAGTACCTTTCATGCATGACATTTTTTTATCTACGTGTATGAATATAATTTCTATATTTTCTTGTTCATGAACTTCGATATACTTTGATTTGATCGTTTCATTTTTTTTTTCTGTCCCAGATCGTTGTTGAAGGAAACATTGGAAGCGGGAAATCAACATTGCTGAATTACTTCAGCCAGAAGGAAGGAATCGAGGTCTTGCCTGAGCCTGTCCACAAGTGGCGGAATAACAGGGGACAAAATATATTGGTAAACAAATTTACTTACATTTTGCCTTTATCAGGACTGCTTGAAATAAAATTTGCAGAACAGAACGGTGCTTACATTTTCTTGGTGTCGTGAATTTGTAATAAAGAAGTCAGAAAATACATTGGTTTGAAAATGTTGGATTCTAACCTTAACTGCCGAGGCCCTTTTGCCTAGGATACACCATAGAGCAAATCCTTGCTGTATGGATACACCTTCAATCCTTAAAAATCCTCCTACAGCCACCATGAAAAAATTGGATACAGCCTCAGTCTTCCAAAATCCTCCAATAGTTCTTGAATATATTCTGTGGAGGGGAGCCCACTGCCTCAATCCTCCAAAATCCTCCAGCAATTCCTCTCATTATGCTGAGACAGTGTAAATGGTGTCCTGGAACAGTCAGGAGGATTTCACAAACAATGTGGGCATGAATTAAGCGTGGCTGAACGTGAACAACACAAGGTCTAATCTACAACTTTGAGACAATGCATCCTTCGTACTAAGCAATGCGATTTTGCACTGCAGCCTCAATCCTCTTAAATGCTCCAAAACTGCCTGGAGGATTTCAAAGGATTGAGGATGGTTAGGCCGTAGTACGTAGTTCCAGATTACAGGCTTGATTTAGGAAGCTTGTTAGCAGTTTTAGCAAAACACTGAAAGAGTCACAATGAAGTAGGAATGAACAAACGATTACTTAAATGTAGACCTTGTAGAATTCTCATTTTTTTGTTTTGTGAAATTTTGTGTTCTTTGGACCTTTAAGGCAAGAAAACCAAATGTGGATTTAAACTAGAATAAACTAGCCTTCATTTTGTGGTCACCAGTTTCAAGGTCTGTGGTCGATTCTGCTGATTATGGATTCAAATTCAGCTTACCCGGTTGCAGCCAATGTATTTGTGCTCCTAAGCAAGACAGATTACTTCTCCCAACGGAGAGTTTAACGTGCATTTGAATTTGCTGGTTTTGCTAGAATTTCAGCAGGAAGCAATAAACTCCACATGGACTTCAGACTGAATGTCCTATAGGCCCATTGAGCAGGGGTACATGTAGATGCCAGTATGCACTCTTTCTAAATCATAAATTATACATCTGATTGATTTGAGTTTTTTGGTTTGTCAGGATCTATTCTATAAGGATCCTGCACGATGGAGTTTTGCCTTTGAGTCTTATGCCCAGTTCACAAGACTTGAGGTCCACGAAGCTAAGACAAACTGCAGGGTCAAACTGATGGAACGCTCCATATACAGTGGCAAATACTGCTTCACAGAAAACCTCTTTAAAAGGTGGAGATATTTTTCTTCTTTGTCTTGGAGGTTCATTCCTTACATTTCCAATTGCACTGTCCCTTCTTCATTTTAGACTATAGCAACTACTCCACACACAAAAAAATTACTATCCTGAAAAATTCCGGAGCAGAGTTTGGGTAGATTCTGTGAAAAAAAGGATTACCATTCGTGTTTTGTCACTATTCCCATTTTTGAGCACAACTCATGCCTTTGGTACCATTAAGAACAGTGTTTTGAGTCACTTTTTTCCACTTTGACTCATTGGGTAAGAATTCCACACTTGGATGTTACTGATTTTTTCCTGAAGTAATATAACCACCAGAAGGCAATAACATTCTAAAAAGTCAAAACTAAGTGAGGATAATATTGAAGCATTTACTTAGAAAATGCTTAGAGTTTTTCAGACCATTCTCATAGAGTTGGTGCACGGGTATCAAGTGATGTCTATATGAAACTCTTAACCAACTTTTGGAATACTTGTTTTTCATTTTTGACCCACAGAGCCTACTCGTGTTCAAAATAATTGTGTTTTAGTTCCCGTGAAATACAATTTTCTTAGACTGTACTATTAATTAATAGCCATTAAGCAAATTTAGCATATTGAATCATTATAATTCAAACTTATATGAAACATGCTAAGTTGTTAAAATGTGGGTTTTTTTTCATTTGATTTTCCTATTTTGTTTTCTTTCACTTCATAGCAAGTTTTTGCAGAGACCAGAATACAATGTACTGTGTGAATGGTTTGACTGGCTGAAAACGACCAAAGATCTTCACATTGATCACATAGGTCAGTGGCTTGTCCATGTTCTTCAGCTTGGGCAGTTGGAATTCTAGAATATGTTGAAGCAAAAATTTCAGTTTATTGGCTAAATATGCATTGACACTATGAGACTTTTAGTCTGAAGCCAGATTCTATTTAAAGCCTTGTTCCACATCACTGTTTGTCACAATCACAGTGTGAGCATATTAAAATGCCTACATGTAATGCATTCATCCTTACCCAACCAGGTATTTTAAGATGTACATGTAGGCAGGCAGGAGTCAACCTCCTTTACCTCACGAGACTTGATGCCCCTCAGAAGTTTAAGTACAAAACAAAGCTGTTACACGTATTTCCTGCACACTGGAAGACTAGACTCTGAGTGAAAGATTCCAAGCCAGAATATCTAAGGAATTAAGGTCAGCTCAGTGGCAAACACCATGCAATAAGTCGTACATTTAACTGCCATTTGGTAGCATACACCATGTTGTCTGTAGCATCATTCGTGACAAAACATACCACAGCCCATCACAGATGTAGTGAACTTCGATGCCACCGAGAGCATGAGTGATTCATCACGAAGAACACACTAAGGATCTCCATCAACTGAACGATTTTTTTTACTCCTGTCAGTGTATCTTCGTAGCACCCCTGAGCTGTGTGATAGACGGATTCGAGAACGTAGCCGTAAGGAGGAGTCAGAAATACCTATGGACTATCTGCGAGACCTTCACGAGACCCATGAAGACTGGCTCATCAGGAAAACAAAATTTGAACTCCCAGCACCAGTAATAGTGAGTTCAGAATATCCCTCTAAATTCAAAGCTGAAGTCCCTGTGACAGTTGAATTCAACGTTAATTCCGTCACATCTTTTTTACCAAATTTCTCTCTTTTTTTTCTCATATCTGTCAGGTTCTTGATGCCACAAAGCCTCTGGAGGAAATGGTGAACCAATTCAAATACCTTGAGGATAAGTTGAACCTGAAATCCATTTGATAGACACTTTTTTTTACTTACATGTACGTCAGTGACATTTCTGTTTGTGTTAACTATTCATTTGAACGATTCAAATGTTCTTTCGTGTGTATTTTAATTTTAATAAACTTGTACTCTAGGTGGGTACTTTTGCACAATTCATTGCAAAGTATTTTTTTTAATAATGTTATTTTTTAATCTTTCACAAAATAATAAACAAAAAGTGTGTTACATGATGCTCAGGAAATTTTTGTCTAATTTGAATCTGATAAAGTTTCACTATTCTGGTAGAAATTTATCTGCACAAGTCATGTTGACTTTAAGGCCACAATGAGTGTGGTTATTTTTTATGGAGTGACAATACCTCAATGTATTCTATTCTATTTTTAAATTCACCGGTTTTGAAAGTTTGTAAAATACTTAGGTCTTAGGTTTGGAAGCAGGGTCAAATTATTGTACATACATGTTGTTCTGTTATTGCCCAAGTTACTGAAATTGAAGGCTGTAGAGTTGGGATCAAGCCCGGGATGGAATAGGTAGGGTTGTGGATCTATGAACAATACTGGGCAAGAAATGTTCAGTAACTTTGCAAAAGGACTCAGGTGCAAACTGCAGTTGAACTCCTTTGCAAATACTTGGATATTCTAAGTCACCTGTATTGTTCATACACTCAGCTTCCTACCAATTTCAAATTACCGATGACTGGGCATGTCACCTTTTTTGCCCAAATGAAAAAACATGTACTTTTCAAAGTGAGGTGAAATCTGTCATCAAGGCACAAGAAGTCTTCCAGTTCCAAAGTAATCCAGCAAATACATGTACATTGGTTTCAGAGAGCACAATCTAAAATGACTACCTTGTAAAGAAAGCCCAAAATTGTGCATAATGATTACGCATAATCAACAGGCCAAATACTTGAACCACACTGTCTGGTTTCTCAAGATTATGTGTACTTGTACTTCCCACTATCCATGTACAACTTAAAAATTCTATGCACTTTTTCAGACTGAGGGAAAGCATTCAATATCTTGACCAGGGCAAACCTATTTGTAGTCTCACAGATTGTCGACACAAAATGGCAGATTTTAGACCCTGCCCTTCCTGGCATCCTGCACAAATGAATGGGACTTTTGCATTGATCTTTTTATGTTGAAATGGGGGGTTTAAACGTTCACTTTTTAGTGTACCTGTCCCACTTTTCTTGGCATTTGTTTCCGAGTCTTTGATATTGCTGTGTCTTGGTTGAGATGAGGCTTTTTTCACTTCAAAAGTCTAGTTGAGATGTACTTTTTCAATGTGATAACATTCCAGTAACGTCCTTAATTTTGAAAAACATTTCATTGTCAAACAGCAAACTGACCTTGACAATAAAATGTTTTTCAAAATTATGCATCAATCTTATCACATAATGTGGATAGTTTTTACTTTAAATGTGTTAATATTCAGTTCAGTTATGTTCAAAGAAAGTAAATTCAAATATTTGTACATGATTTTGCATTGTATTAACAATTTTTTAGGTCTTCAGTGTAAAATACTTGTTAAATTTCTCATGTACTTTTAAGTGTGTATTTTTAAAAAAAGTTAGATTTGTAATTAGAAGTCGTTACTTTCTGCAGAACACTCAGGTTTAAATTATCAGGATGTTTTCAGTCAAAATTATGGACTTTGAGAGGTGTAAATTATTCTGGCTTTGCCATCTCCTCACACTTAAAACTACTAAAAACAAGATTTACAGAACCATAGCCGTGTGTCAGAGAGCGCATTCCTTGGCAGCTAGTTAAAGCCTAGAGAAGTCATATTACTTTATTATTGTTGCATTCCCTCTGCTAGATGTATCATTGATTTCTTGTCTTCCCCTAATTTCACCCTAAACACTACAAAAGTTGTTTGATAGGACTTCTTTTCTTTTGTTGTTTTATGCATTGCCGTTTTTCAAATTTGAATTTTACAGAACTCTTGTACTTTTAGTATACTTGTCCATTTATTTTTAAGTTGGGAGCGTTAGTGTTCCACCAATGCGGCATAAAAGGGGAGGGAAGTACAACTTATTTTGGCCAGTTTTTATCTGCCAAACTTGTGATTTGACCGAGGTTCACGAGTGAGTTTTACTCATTCCATCCTCTGACATTACCTCCTTTGGAATTAAAGCTGAATGCAAAAATAAAAAAGAATGACATAGATCTCAGAATTTTGAGATACATGTACTTTCTGTTCCAAGATTGTTCTCTCAATAAAGACTGTCAACCATTTTGCTCACTTTCTTAAAGGTTGGAATGAATAGTTATTCAATGTATTATGTTCACAGATCACTAAACTGCTGTGAAAATGCTTCCTCAATTTAGCCCAAACTGTTTCATTACATGTATCCTTGCTTTGTTGTCTTTAAAGCCAGCCATCTTGAATTTCCCATGCCCTTCATTTCCTCCAGCATCTTGACACATCACTGTTTTTTCAGGCACTAAAATGTTTGACATCATTAAATATGAATCAACGTATACTCTTGAGATTCGTTCACTGTAATGTTTGCCGGTGCCAACTTTTATTGGACTTATCACAACTGTACAAGTAGCATTTTAAAAGGTTCTATGTTGCAGTAGAAAAATGATATATAAATACATACATTGTATTCAATTAAGTTAAAAACGCATAAGAGGTTAAAAAAAATGGGCCTGAAAATTGATTTGAAATTCATTGAAATTTCTAACTAAACTGTTTTTCTGACAGTTCATGGAATGTACTTGTCACTGACATAAATTGTTGCAAGTATAACATTGGTAGCCAATTTAGAACACTGTTTGGGTTGTAGTTTGATGACAAATCAAAAAATTTCAAACTAAAAGAAAACCTTTCTGAAAGTTTGCTATCGCTACATCTATGGCAAACTTTATGATTATATTATAGAATGGGGGTTAACGAGTGGTTATTGACAAAATGCACACAATAACATACAGAAGTAACAAGATCAACATTCTAAATTTAACATGAAATGCCACCATCGAAAACTAACCAAACAGCACCAGAAAACAGCAACAGGCATAAATTAAAGTTTTTCCAGCAAGGAGAGGAATTCTCTAAATGGGGGAACATATTGTTTCCATATGTTATCTAAACTTTCACGGACGTATGTTTGGCCACAGGTTTTCAAGTTGTCACAGAGCTGCAACCAGGTTTTGACCCTAACAGTCCTCAATCCTCCAACAGGCGAAGGATTGAGGACTGTTAGGGTTAAAGCAAGTTGTTCCAGCTGTCAGCATAGGGTGCAGCACTGTCTGTTGCAAATGACGAGCTGTTTTCTAAACAAGTTACACGTATTTGGTCGGAAACTGGCATAAGAAAATTGAACTTTAGCCAAACTTGATAAAAGTGATGTGGTGATGAATTATTTCAGAATGTCCCAAACATTCCAGAACCAAGAGAAGGGCCAAAAATCACATTTTAAGCAACAGAAGTATACTGGTTGGCCCCCTTATTGTGACGGCCGGTTCATACTTAGCCCAAAAGAGCAAATTTTCTGACGTCAGATCAAATATTTGCATTACAAATATGTAAAAGTTGAACGCATTTCCACTTCAGCAAAATTTCCCTGCAAGTTATCCATGATGTCAAATTTGCTTCGCTTTCGCATTTGCCCCAAGCATAAACCAGCCTTTATACGTCATCTGAAAAAATGTCCAAACATCACGACATGTTCAACTTGGTGGAATGACCAGACAAGTACCCAGAGAGGAATTCGAAATCAGAATTCTAAAATGCTGTTTGAACTAGTGCCTGAAATTCTTTTATAAATTAAAAAACACTACATGTACATGTTTACATGTTTGGTAGTAGCAAAAAACTATTATCATTTTCATACACTTTTTTTATATCCCAATGTTGCTAGCATTAGCAAACACGTGTGTGCAATGGTCCAATTAACCTGCACATGAGGGCAGTTGGAAGTTCAAAATAAAATTGTTGACTTGTTTTTGTTGTCACTGATACAGCACTGAGCAAAACAAAGAAAAGCATGGAATGTCAGGCTACTTACACAGTTTTGCTATAAAACAACAATACAACTTATTCTATAATCTACCAACAGACAAAAAAACCTACAATTTATCGAATTCCAATTTTTGCTCAAGGTCTTTGAACTGCTGCATCATCTCATCCAGGGGTTTGGTGGCATCAAGAATCTGAAAAGGGAGTGAACAATGATAACAGCTTCGGTTACAGATCAATAAAAGGCAGGAGAACTGGGCAGGCTAGGACCTTGCTGAACCAGTCAAAAGAGGAACGGTGAACAATATGAGCTTGCTGAAATACATTTTGGTTTTGCTCTGTCTATCACTGTAAATGTGATTGGACACGACTCTTTCATGGGAACTCAAAACATTTCAAGGGAACATCAAGAATCAGTTTGTTTTCTTTGAAAATTTCTGTACGCAACCTGTCATGGCCCCTCTGAGGGGTGAAGCTATGGGGTTTGTGAACACTTTTGGAAAAAAAGGAAAGCAAAAGTTCCCCCTCAAAAAAATTCCTCTCTCATTATTCAAAAACGAAAATGTTACTGGGGAATTGTGGGAATGGCCCTCAGGATTAGCAAACTGATGCTATATTTTATGTAATTTGGTGTCAAGATCTTTGCTATAAGCTAATGCAGGGCCTTATGAGGAATGGCATCGTACACTGTTTTAACAAGCCAAGTGGAGTTTTGTGCCTTCAAACGTAGTTAGGTCTAATTGTGACATGTATGTTTTTGGACACTCCTGTACAGTTTCAATGATTACTCTCCCCAAGTTGATCGACGGACACAAAGTGCACTGAAAATGCATCTATCTGTTCGTAAGTGTGATGCCACTTCAGTTTAAACCACGACCACTGCACATAGGGTTACAAGCACTGATCGCCGTTTACATGGAAACACGGAACCGGAAGTTAACACGTAACTTCAGTGATTGTCCAATGGGAGCCTGCAAATCGTAGCTCGTTTACCCTTATCAAAAAATCATTGACGAACCGGATAGAAAGGCACCTTAACACTTCAGCAGGCAGCACAACTGAACAAGTACAAGTATTTATTAGTGTGATATATTTGTAAGGTGGAACTGCGCTGGCTTTGATACACGTACACTGCTCATGAGTAATTTAGTACAGAGAGATTTGCATACAGGATGTATGTCAAGGGTCACTGCATGACCTTATTCCTGGTGTACGTGAATAGTACCTTTTCTCAGTATGGCAACTCCCGTGCACATGTGTGAGTTATTACTGTATATCCCACGCAAAATACACTACAATTAGCTACAAGCCTAAAATATATACAGTGGAAAAAATTCACTTCAAGACTTGCAGATCTGAAGCTCTAGTTAGTACAGAGTCAATGAGTATGCTTTACATAACAAATGCATAAGGCATTCTTTTGTAGCTCGTGTCATTCACCGATGTACATGTACTGGACTGCATATTTATCAAGACCAACTTTGAGTTCATTCCTGGCATTTTAGTCTGTGATCAATGGCAAAAGATAAGAACTTACTAATACTGGTGCGGGTAGCTCAAACTTTTTCCTGATGAGCCAATCTTCGTGTCGCTCATGGAGATCTCTAAGATAATCCAAGGGTATCCCAGCCTCTTCTTTGCGGCTACGTTCTATGATCCGCTGTTCACACTGCTCAGGGGTGCTCCGCAGGTACACTGGCAGTACAGATAGGACAACCACAATCATAAAATGCTGCACATGCAGAATTGCACAGGGCAGCTTTACACTCAATCTGCCCCTGCCCTGTTGTTACTAAGAAAGTGTTAAATGAGCATTGAAATAAACCATCTGACTCACCTATGTGGTCGACAAGAACATCTTTCTTAATCAGCCATTCAAACCACTCTGTCAGTATATTGTACTCTGGAGTCTGTAATTTCCCGCTGTATTTGAAACAAACGGAAAGTTAAGTGGAACAATTAAATCAAGGTAAAATGGCCGATGAAGCTCTTGCGTGCCGAGGAAGTAAAGCATGAATTTAAAACATCCTAAATGTCACTTAAACTTACTACTACTAATAATAATTTATTCATTTATAAAGTGCAAATTTCATATAGATATGTTCAAATGTGCTGTACAATGAAGACATTAAGCGTGGAACAATGAATGCATTTAAACATGGTTGAGCCGATGGCATACAAGGGCGCCTGGGGCAGCTGCCAAACGATCCACATTTACCAGCTTGCTTGAAACAAACAAACAAAGTCATACATGTACTTGAATATATATATACAAGTATTTACCTTTCATAGAGGCTCTCTATGAAGCAGTATTTTCCGCTATAAATGGAACGTTCCATCAATTTGATTCTGCAGTTTGGCTGGGTTTGATGCTCTTGCAGTAAGGTAAATTGGTTGTAAGATTCAAAGGCAAAACTCCATCGGCTGGGATCCTGGTAGAACAACTCCTGATGAGACAAAGTCAGTGATGCCCTAAGTATGAGTTGTCATAGTCCATTTTTCCTAAATTCATGCATGCAACTGGGCAGTCAGTAGAATGCAAATGAATATCATGCAGCTGAGACTTTCTTGTGTGATTTTCACTTGACAACTACCAGAAACTGATGAGGAAAAGTTGCACGCCTCCAGAGTTTAGAAATTCCACAAAAGTACAAACTGCCTAAACAAAAAAGGCTGCCAGTCGCCTTCTGAGTATCTCCAAAAACTACTTCTGGCTATCTTAAAAAATACTGCTCTGACAAAATATGAAAATGCAAGCCAACGTGTAATAGACAAAAAAGGAAAATTTTTGCCATTGTATGTTGTTTTGTGTTTTTTACTCTACAAAGCTGTGTAAAAGAATGACATCTGCCCAAACTGGCTTTGATTGAAGGTAATAAGCATGGTTTTTTTTTCAGTTTGCTACTGTTAAACACGTTTAACAATGGACATTAACTAAACAGAGATAAAGACATATCAGGTTTTAAACTGATATTGCTCCCATTATATTAAATTATTACCAACATATTCTCCCCTCGGTTGTCTCTCCATTTATGAACAGGCTCTGGAAAGACCTCAATGTTGTCCTTCTGGCCAAAATACTTCAGTAATGTAGACTTTCCACAGCCAATATTGCCCTCAATGATAATCTAAGAAAGAAGAAACAGTGATGAAATGCATTGGAAAGAATTGTTGGATACTATTTGGCTGTGGTTTTGCCCACAAACCCTACCAGAAATTTAGAAAATCAACAAAAACAATACAACTTGAGAATTTGTGATGGTCTCGACTACAACACTACCATATGCTATTGGCATTGTGATGATGACTGTGTTGGGCGCAATCCGTCAATCTGTGGGATTGTTCAAACTATGCATCACCTGTTAATATACATGTATATGAGGCCTATTTGCAAGATTTGCCAATACTACTCATTTGTAATTGAGTAATTGCCTTTTTTCCTATTTGAGTAATTCCACCATCAGCCAGTAATTTTTTTCTTACTTTGTAATTCTCTGTTGAGAAAAACTGTTTTGAAACCCTAGACAGTGCTAGGCCCAGGATCAACTGATCATAGCATACGATCGCCCGATAATTGTGCTAATTGATGTGGGACAACTCGACCGTTAAGACAACTCGACATGATCTCATGATCAGATCATCTGATGATGATTGTGCTAATTGACTGATCCCAACAAAGAAACAAACAAATGAATTTGCCATGTTTGCACAAGTTAACTAGGCCCTACTTAATACACACATCTTCTTTTCCTTACTCCGTGATGATACACGTCGTCCCACCCATGGTCGCATTTTGGGGAACATAATTTTAACATGTTCAAGCAAGGAGGTAGAAAAAGCCATGGAGGAATAAAAGCACCTCAGCCCACTAACACAGAAACCTGGTTATCATAATATCACTCAGTGAGCGGTAACGTCTATGACCAGCAAAAAGCTTAGAGGGCACCGTTTTAGCTTTTGTCAACAAAATACGAGGCCTACTACTTACTGTTCGGGGTCTTGAGCTATGTAGATTATCATCATCAGTTAAACAGATATTGCCAATTGTGGTGCTTATATCACTCAATGGTGCACGATTTTTGGAGTGCCTTTTTGAACGCAGTGTTGTACGGATGACGGGCCTTTCGCCACTGTTTGGGTCCATTTTCGTAGTGAGCTCTGCAAGTGCTACCAGAGTCTCTGGGTTGCTTGATGACTGGGCACAGGTGTTTTCTCGATTTCCTCCCAACATTTTCAGCGCTGTGTAAATTGGGGTTAAATATTCAGGAATAAGTATTATTTATGTAGGCCTATGTTGCAGTCAACATGATGTAGCCAACGAAAATAAGCTTAACCAGTCCCGGACATTTCCATCATGGAGCATTCGCGCGTTTGTTGAAAACCCCGCGCTTACCGCAGATTGGAAGATTCTAATAAGTGCAGGTACAAATTCGAGGTTGGTATCAAGATTACATAAAGCTGTAGCGATTTAAAAATATTACAGACCAAATAAGTAATTATATTGCTTTTCTATTATATAAAAATACTTTTTAATATCAAAATTCCATGAGAATCATTGCATTAGTGATTTCCAAAGAATAAATGTTTCTAAGAAACGTATAACTCCCCTCTATGTAAAAATGGTATAGCTTTGCAAAGAGCAAGGGTCGCGTAGCAGCGATCATTATACGCGATCTATTGTTTATTACGAAAAGCTAAGACGAACAACGTGACCTCGTATCACAGAATGCGTGGATTGCACGGAACGCGTCACTGATGCGTGGAGGGCCAGGGAGCTGCGGATGATACGAGTAGTCAAGTCGACGACAATGCTCTCTATGAATGAGCAGACGCAGTGCTGCAGCACTGACTCGGACTGGCCAGCTAACTTCGGCGGTTGAGTAGTTATGACGTCTGCAGAAGTGAGCAGACGTGTGTTCGAGTCCACCCAAGTTACTTCCTAAAGGCAAAAGAGTGAAAAGTCACTCGAAAAAAGTGAAAACCACTATAAAAGAATGAAAACTGAATCACATTAAAACAGGAGCCATATTAAGGACAACTTTATATATATACATGTAGCTCCTTGGCAGAGTGGATATTTTACTCTATCTTTTGGAGTGGTTTTCACTTTTTTAGAGTAGTTTTATTTATTTATTTATTGTTTATTTATCTGCTTTGACATCAGCCACAAGGTGTGGAAAAGGTTGCATTGAAGACGCACAATCGCATCAGATGTTAAAATAAGATTACTTGTTGTATAAAGTATGTAAATAAAAGTTAGAAGTGAAAATTAAAAAAAAAATAAAAATGCTAACCAAAACAAAGAGACCAGATAAGCAGGAATCAACTTCAAATCAAATACATGACATAATTAAGGCATAAAACAGATATAACAACAGGACGGTAAAACACTCCCACAAAGCCAGAAAAAAACGTGTAGTTTACAAACTGTCTAAAATTGGGTAGTGCAGGAAAAAATGAAATGAAATGAGAAAAAAAGAAATATAAGCAGAAAAATGACTAAACATTTTACTAAAGTTTAGCGACAATTATAATAATATACATAAAAGGCTGGAAATAAAATGAGTTAAATATAAACTTTAAGACAGTAACAATGAAATTCCATGTAGAAAGGCAATAAAACTTAGGGCTAGCTAGCTTGACAAGACTGATCCTTCTTAAAGAGATTCTTTGAGCAGTATCACCTGGGATGGCATTCCAATCATTGGCAGTGTGACCAACATAGGAATTCATAAAACAATCGGTTCTAGCAAGGGAACCTTGACTTTCATAGCATGGTCATTTCTAGAAATTCCGTTAGGAGGAATAAATTTAAAGAGGCTACCGGCATCAATTTAGTCTCAAATATTTATGTCTATTTTCTAGAGACGTCCATCCTAACTGCTGCAATATTTCGTGTTTTTGTATCCAGATTCCCAATCTTTACAAATCATTCTTGCATAATGTTTTGAACACGTTCAGGTGTAGCACAGTGGGAACATCTATCAAATAAAAATACGGCTCCGGGAATCACTATTCCGGTCACTTCATGTCTTCTGTTGTGCGGATCCCAAGCCACACAACAGAAGTCATGAAGTGACCGAACTAGCCTTGACTCCCGGAGCCGTATTTTTATTTGACCAGAACAGTTTCCAAGGAATCTTCTTATAAAGCCTACCATTTTATTACACCGTTGCACACTTCATTTGATTGATCGTTCCGGTTTAATTGCTGATATCACCACTCTCATGGGCATTTTCACTGTCGCTCTCCCGCAATTTTTAGCCCTGTAGAAAATAAACGTTATCACTGAGTTCACGTTTTTTCATCTTCTGCATGATTGTACACTTGGTGAAATTGAAATCGAGCATCCACTTTCTAAAGAAATCACCTAACACATTTAAATCATCCTGGAGAACATTACATACAGTCTTCAACAGTTAATTGACCGATAGATAATGCAGTCATCTGCATACGGTAATCTCACAGAAGACTGCACATACTGAGTTGTGTTGTTGATAAAACAATTAAAAAGAATAGGGCCGAGGATTGTCCCTTGGAGGACACCTGACTTGAAGAACTCCAGCTTGAAACTTCACTACTAACGACAATGACTCTCTGCGTTCTACCCTCCAGAAAATTCATTAATTCATTTCAGCTTACGGTCACCAAGCATTTAGTTTCTCACGGAGGAAAATGTGTGAAGTGGTATCGAAGGCTTTAGAAATGTCCCAAAACAGCAACGTGGGCGGCTGGAGCCAGATTCTAAGGTGCTACTCCAATATGGATGCATTATGGCGTCAAGTAGTGAGTTTCACAGGAGGTTTCTTTCTAAAACCATTGCTGATTATGTTGTTATCATGTAAATGTAAAATCAAATCTCTCTGTATAGGAAATTTTACCAGGGACCTCCGCTCTAAAGACAGAATTAAAGTGCTCATTTAGAACTTCCGCTTCTGTAATAGTAATTCCATTTTTCTTGAGACACTCAGCCTTTGTGGTCACATTTTGTAAGGTTTTACATAATTCCAAAACTTTTTAGGATTAAGCTTTATCAGTCGTACGCTTAATGTACACTCAGCATAGCTATTAGGCAACCTGCTTTTTAATCTCATCTCATTTTACTCATTTTTAGAGTGGCTAAAATTAAATCTGTTAGAGTGGTTTTTACAACTCACTCTTTTTTAGAGCGAGCTTTTCACTCTTTTTCATTTATAGAGTAAACTTGTGCAGAGGCGGATTCATACATATTTCCACAGGGAGGGGTCTGGCCAGAGACTTTTTTAATGTCCATTTTTGCGGACAAGCGGAAGCGATGATGAAACAAACATGACATACATTGTTTACAATAGTATTCAGATGAGCTTACTGATTTTTCATTATTTCCATTTTGTACTCTTTAATTTTCGGATTTGTTGTTTTTTTCCTTTTTCGCCCCCCCCATCCGCGCCTGTCGTGAATTTTTTCGCAAGCTCTTGGACAAATACTGACCATACACGTCGGTGTATGTAAGGGCAAAATCCATCATTGAAATAACTGATATTAATTTAACCCATTTTGAAACAGAAACGTCAACACGGACACAATGTGTGGTGTATGTTGGTCCCTATCTGATCATTCACACACACCGGTGCAAAACTTTATCACTTTCAAAAGTTACGTGATTTATTTTTGTATTTTTGATGAGCTGGATCAGGATAGTTAAGAACCTGAGGGACCACTTGTATAAAATTTGTTCCGTCGCACTTTAGGAGCAAGTCACCCCCCCTCATAATCCTCACTCCTCCTTCCCAGAGATACGCCACTACACAGACGGTGAGGGCTCGTGTTCCTTCCTCCATGCTCCAAGTTACCGCTCAAGGATGCTCATCAGATGTACTCTTGAATCTCCACATTGCGTTTTTGTTCTGTTCGTTCCTTTGTTTTTCAGCGCTACACTGGTATTCTAATATTCCGCTGTTGTCTTGTTCAAAATAACAGTACTAATACTACCACTATGCATGGGTATAGAAGGTCTACCTGCGCCATCTGATAGTGATACGATTCAATTTTTTTTCCTCTTGAGTATAATAGAAACTCGGTGACCGTGCTGTGTTGACACATCAAATAACCCTGACCCGGCAAGCCTTGATTCACAATGTACATGTATCCATGATAGGTACTTTGCTTTAGATGTTTTATTTATTTATTTTTTGATACTAGTAATTGTTGATTGATTGGGATAGTCACGTAAATTTGTGCTGGAAATCAGTTTTCCACTCTGAAGTGAACTTTGTGGTCGCAAATTCACGTACACGAGCACCGGTCACAGGTCTTTTCTGAAACTGATACCCAATCCTTCCTACAAGTAAACCCTTCAACATGCTATATGGGTTGTTGGGAACTAGGCGTATATATAAAGCACATTTGAGTTTGAGATCATGCGTTGACTAGCTAGCTAGCTACGAGTACGATACTTAAGTAAACGCGGACTGGACTTTGGATGGGAACAGATTGTTTTTTTGGTGAGATTGTCTCCTGAGATCTTATCAAAACGAATAATGAGTCTCGCGTCACACCATTTATGGGCGTTTTTAAGGAGCGGTTTTCTTACAAAACTTGCACCAGGTGGTCAGTACCAAAGCTTGGCAGTTAGAATGGCGAGTGCGGCTGCTTGCAAAAGACTTGTCGGAAAAGTTGCCATTGTCACGGCCTCCACGGACGGGTGAGTTTGGTGCACCACTACAAATAAATTCCCATAGACAGCAGTGATAAATCCCC